CGCTACCGGTTCTCCAGAACTGGTCAGAACCTGCTGAATCCCACCTCTGCTCTGAAGGCAAACATTATTCTTCCTATAAAAGAACAGTGCCTCCATACCATGCCTTCGTGACTGCATAATTGGGCTGCTGCCGCATGATCTACCTGACCTACCTTTGAAGACCATTTGGGAGCTTCAGGCGGACAAGATGCAGCATCAGCGGGAAGGCGAGTTCCTTGTCTGCTTCTGAGCTCGATGCAAAATGGACATCTTTCTCAACTATGCAATGTTCCTCTTCTTTTTTCTCAAAACATTGAAAAATTGTGTTTTTTTATATAGATTTAAAAATAAAATCCCAATTCCACTTGAATTTATCTTTAAAGAAACTCAGTTGGCCAACTTTCCATGGCTGCTGGATTGTTTCCTTTGGAATAATTCTTCCACTTCTCTGAGATCATGGGTCTCAGAGGTGATGTTCCCTCCAAATTTAGAATCTAGACATACATTTTCTCCATGGTAGCCCTTATCCTGGAGATATACCTGACCCCCTCACGGTTGACCTTCTACAAGGTCATCAAAATGGTTTTACTCTGACCTTCCTTCCTTCCAAAGGCTGGTGTTTGTGGCATTTGGTTGATTTTCTTCCTTTAAATTGCTGTTCTATGTCAGGTCTTCGTTATATGTTGACTTTTGGGGCTAGGCTGTATGCAAATAAGTGTAATAAGCAAAACATCCATCTAAAGAAGAAGAGAGTTGCCCAGCCCATTGTCCCATTCTTAGTTTTAGTTATAAACAATGACTCATGTCATTAAACTCAACCACAGTTAAAACAATGTAATAGCTTATCTTCGTATGAGAATTAAGAAGGTGAATTCTGTAATCCATACTGATTTCTGCCCATCTGAGGATTTTGGTTTTCAGTATGTAGGCAGTCCTGGACTTACGACCACAATTGAGCCTAAAATTTCCATTGCTCAGCAAAGAAGTTGTGAAGTAAGTTTTGCCCCATTTTACGACCTTTTTTGCCACACTTACTAGATGAATCGCTGCAGTTGTTAAAGTGAATCATTTGGTCATTAAGCGGATCTGGATGAGTGGTGCGGTGGCCTAGAGGCGGAGAACTCCGCATTGGCAACAGGAAAGGCATCTGGCCAGTAAACACTCAGCTCCATTTAGTTGTCCAGACTCCACCCCGCAAGGGATTATGGGGTCATTAAAAGAGGATGATGATTAAGAATCTGGATCTCCCCCCCTCCCCCCATGGCTTCGCTTGTTGGAAGCCAGCTAGGAAATTTACAAATGGACCCAGGACACTGCAACCGTCATAAATACATGCCAGTTGCTAGTGCCCGAATTTTGATCACATGACCATAGGAATGGTACGACCATCGTAAGTGTGAAAAACGGTCAAAGACCACTTTTTTTCAGTGCCATTGTAACTTTAAACTGTCATTAAATGAACAGTTGTAAGTTGAGGACTACCTGTAGTTTATTCCTGCATTTCGTGTAAATTTAGCCCGTTCTTCCAGGCCAGGTTTCTTTAGCATTAATTCCTCCATAAATTTGTTTTCAAGTCCTAATAGCTGCAGTTAGTTTGCAGAAGGCCTGATGAAGTTGTAGGCCCAAATAGGTGGAGGAGAACAATCACATTACCTATCCATACCATCAACTAGGTAAATTGTTGTGGTCCGCCAGCAGCCTGCGAAGCTGGCAGCGGAGTCGGACAGCGATGAGGCTGAGGAAGAACAGGGGCCAGTCCTGGAGGCTGGGGAAGGCCTGGATGAGGGCTCTGCGTCGGAGGCAGAGATGGGGCCAGGGCCATCGGGGAGTGATACACAGACTTCGGAGCCTCCAGAGGCTGACAGTAGAGAGGCAGAGGAACAGAAGGAGCCTGTTCCTAGTGCACGTATGAGAAGAGCTGCCAGAAGGCAGGAGCAGCTAAAGCAGAGAGGACGACTCGGGAGTAGGGCCAAGAGATGATTGGCCCCTCCCATAAGGCTTAAAAGACCAGCAACGGCTCTTGGTCTCTTTGCCGGAAAACAACGTTGAGAGATTTGCTTCTTGTTTCACTGTATTCATTTCTTGTCAGCATCTTCTGTTCCTGAACTGTCGCCAAGAAAAGCCTTTGGCAGTTTGCCTAATTATCCCAAGGTCAGAGATAAACTAAAGAATGGTGTTTTGAGGACTTTGCTTTCATTTAATTTGGAATACGCTGAAAATGAGTTAATTCTCAGCTGTTTGAATAAAATCTGTTTGTTTTTTGGAACTGTTTTGCATTTAATATTAACCACGTGGGCCTGGATCACAACATAAATTTTAATAAAAGCCAATGCCGGATCTTCTCCCCTTTTCTAAGCCTTTTCTAAGAAGCCTTTGGAAGCTTATCTGTATTGTTTATTTGTAAGTGTTCTCCCAGTTCCATTTATCCCTTTATGTTTTTTTTTCAGAAAGCATCACTAATTTCTTAGGGACCCAGGAGTTTGTCTTACTGGATGCTCAGTTCCACATCAAGTCCAAAGTAGAGGAAATTATCCTGGTATGTAAACGTGGCTTATTTTTTTAATTCTTTGTCAGTTTGATGTGTGCATGGGCATAATTCCTGTGCGGAAACAGTCAACCCCATGGACTTTGAAGCCCTTGAAAAAATCGCTTTGGATTGACAGCAGGGATGTATAACGATTTTAACAGAAAGAACGAATGGGAAAAACCCATTTGCATCTCACTGTTCAACTCTTGTTGCAATTCTGACACTTCTGTGGGTTTGTTTGTCCATTCCTGTAATATCTGCTCAGTGTGAACATGTGGTGGTTTTCGACTTACAACCGTAAGGAAGCCTGGATTTTTCCTTCTAAGTCATAACGCTTGTAAGTCAAGACACCTGTGTGACTAGACCAGAGATGAAATGCTCCTGGTTTGGACCGGATCACCCGATCCGGTAGCGATGGAGGCAGGTGGTTCGGAGAATCGGTAGCAAAAATCCCCACGCCCCCCCCCCCCACTGCCCGGCTGAGCCGCGCAATCATCAGAGGCTTCTTTTTTATTTTTAAAAGCATTTTTTCTAAAACCACTTCGGCAGAAAAAATGCTTTTAAAAGTAAAAGAAAAAAAAAGCCTCTGCCGATCAGGCAACTCAGCGGGATCGTCAGAGCCTTTTAAAAGCATTTTTTTTTACAACCTCTTCTCGATGAGGTTGTAGAAAAAATACTTTTAAAAGTAAAAAAAAAAAAAGTTGGCCACGCCCACCCAGTCACATTACTCCCACCACCAAGTCATGCCCACAGAACCGGTAGTAACAAATTTTAGATTTCACCACTGGACTAGACCAGTGGTGGGTTGCCCCGGTTCGCCCCGGTTCTATAGAACTGGTAGTAAAACCGGCGGGAGGCTCCGCCCACCGACCCTGGTGTCATCAGAACGCTTCTGCACATGTGCAGAAGAGCACGCGCGAAGCAAGCGCATGCACGCAGCCCCATTACGAACCGGTAGTAAAGGTAAGTAGAACCCACCCCTGGACTAGATCTGATATTATTATTGTTATTGTTGTTATTGTTATTGTTACTGTTATTTTGCAGTTATTAAGCAAAGCAATATATTCCTATGGGTGTTTTTAGCCAAAAATTAGCTGAAGAGGCCAGAACTGGCAAAAAAAAAAAAAAACATTGTAAATTGTGGTCATGTGATTGCAGCAACTGGCCATTAAATTGAATCACTTGCCAAGCGCCCAAAATACAGTTGTGTATGGCTATTCAACGACCTGGAACTCCAGAACCAGTTTGCGATAGCTTGGCCGATAGGTGTCAAAACCTCAAATAATCACTCAACTAAGTTGTTGAGCGAGGAACGCCTGTGAATACATAGATTATTACAAAATTAACTCGCTCGGAAGTGATCCCCAAAATACTGCGCTGTATTTCCCCAGGTTTTTGTAAAGGGGAAACAATATTTGCAAAGTTTAAACATCCAGAATTCGAAAGCATCTACAAGGGATTCCTAGCAGATTTTACACGGAAAGTTAATCCGTCGCTCGATGGATTAACCAGCATGTACTGGTATCCAACGTAAGGGAAATATCGTGCCTAATTAAAACCAGGTGAAAGATCTTACTGTACCCTTTCCAATTTGACGGCAGTAAATTAGATTTGCAGGGAGACATTTGAATCTTCCTCCAGCGGCCCCAGCACAGACCAGGTTGTGTCACACCAAGCTCCGATTGTATCTGTTCACAAGGAGCCAATTAGGTGAACACAATAGCTCCTATGCTACTGAGCTGTATAAATTATGGAGATACGTTATTAGGAAATATCACACCTTTCTCAGCTACGACTTAAGAACGGGGTGTCAAACTCAATTTAATTGAGGGTTGCATCAGGGTTGTGTTTGACCTCGGAGGGCTGGAGGTGTGGAGCGGCTTGGTGGCCATGGCCGTGGTGGCCATGACACGGGACTCGTGTCGGGGGCACCTGTGGTGGCCAAGCGCTAAGGCAGAACTTCCCTGAGATCCTCCCTCACTCTTATTATATTCCTTCCTTCCTTCCCTCTTCCTTCTCCTTCCTTCCCCTCTTTCCTTATTTATTCCTTCCTTGCTCTCTTCCCATCTTCCCTTCTTTTTATTTGTCTTTCCTCTTTCCCTTGCTCCTTTTCTGTCCCTTCTTGCATGCTCAAATGGAAAAAGGGGAAACATTTCTCCTTTAGTTTTGTTTTTAGTTTGTTTTGATAGCCCACTGCCAACGCAAATGGATCAGTAGCGGGTTGCTACTGGTTCGCCCCAAATCAGGCAAACTGGTAGCGGCGGTGGCGGGAGGCTCCGCCCGTTGCTACTGGTTCGCCCCAAATCAGGCAAACTGGTAGCGGCGGTGGCGGGAGGCTCCGCCCGCCCACCCATCCAGACTCTTCTGCACATGCGCAGAAGCGTTGTGTGCATGCACGAGCGCGCCCACGCACACGAGCAAACCAGTAGTGATGGCTTTTGAAACCCGCCCCTGAAATGGATCCTGTGTCTCTTTCTCTCTCTGTATAGGTTCTGATGCCTTGGCGAGCATTGGTGGTGATGGCAAAGCTTCCTGTCAAGGTGCCTTAAGTCCTATTTTGTTCTTAGCCTTATTGACTTTTTTTTTTTTTAATTTGATTTATATGCCGCCCTTCTCCGGAGACTCAGGGCGGCTTACAATGTGCTCAGCAATAGCCTTCATCCTTTTGTATATATTTATACAAAGTCAGCTTATTGCCCCCACAAACTGGGTCCTCAATTTATCTACCTTAGAAAGGATGGAAGGCTGAGTCAACCTTGAGCCTTGGCGAGATTCGAACCTGCAGTAATTGCAGGCAGCTGGTCTTAATAACCAGCTTAATAACAGGGTGCCTTAGACCACTGTACTACCAAGGCTCTTCAAAGATTGCTCTTAGCAATCGGGTGCTGTTTTCTTAGCCTAGTCCCATGCAGCTGTTGGAAGGAAAATCCATCCGGTTCAGTTCCAAGCTGGGAGAAAGATGCTGGAAACAACATGGAGGCTGATTAGAAAGAGAGGTTTATTGATGAAGCAGAAGCACGTGTGATTCTGACAAAATGGAGTTGGGAGTGGGTGGGTTTTGTACCATCTTTGGGCTTTGTATTTGAGCTTCCTGTTCCTGTGCAAGAACATGTCCTTTAATATTCTATTGGCTGTTGTCATGTAGGGGTTATGTAGGGGTCATAGCTGGCTCTATAGGCAAAAGAGATGCAAATCCTATGTGTTTGTCTGAGCTAATTTTGCAGACCTTTTGTTTGTTGCTTATCTGAGTGTCTGTCTTGACCCAGTCTTTCTGAGCGGATTACCAAATCTGCATTTCTAAAAGCTGGCCTCCTCAGTTTTTGCTTGGGGCAGGGAAACTGGGGCTCTGAGTTTCTGTCTCCCTTAAGATTTTTTTTTTTATTGTTTCTCCTTTAGGGGAAATATTTTATCCTGCCTTTTTAATATTTCCCAAAATATTTCATTCTCCTAGGAGGGAGGTGTGGTTTCCCACAGAGTCCCCTGCAGAAATGCAGGTGCTGACCCTACTATTAGTCAGGTGATCAATACAGTATTCCTTAGCAGAATAACAGAATTGGGAGGCACCTCGGAGGGATTTAGCTCAACAAGTGTAGACCAAAATTAAACACGCTGCTTTTTTTTTAATTCTTAATTTTGCACATGTGTTTTGCCTGAATGCAAATTATATCAGCCTGAAGATTTGCAAGAATGAATTTTATCTCTTCCCATCACTGCTGTTATCCTGGGCTGAGTTTTACAAGATACGCGCAGCAGATAAACAGGATTTGAGCTGGGCTTGCAAAATGCATTTCACTTGGTTCCAGGATTTGCATCGCACGCCGTATCAGCGTCTCCTAAACTTTCTGAACGGAATTAAGTTGCACAACCTGCTAAGCCGCACCTAAAACAACAGTTGTACAAAGGAAGATTTTGGATCTTGAAATTATCAGGCTGAGCACAGTTAAACCGCAGATCTATTCAGAAGACAGAATGATAGATTTGTAAAGGACCTTGGAGGTCTTCTTGTCCAACCTCCTGCTCCAGCAAGAAACCGTATGCCAGTGCAGACAAATGGTGTCCAATTTCTTCTTAAAAACCTCCAGTGTTGGAGCATCCCACCTTCTGTAGGCAAATCAGTCCACTGATTACCGTATTTTTGGGAGTATAAGATGCACCTTTTTCCCCCCTAAAAGGAGGTGAAAATTTAGGTGCATCTTATACACTGAATGTAGCCCCGCCCACCCACTGGCCCCCACCCTTTGGCCTCTGCCTCCCAGCAGTTTACTTCCTTGCAGCAAGCAGCAAGAAGAAACAGCTCCTTTCAGCTTCAGCACAGCCTAATAAGCACAAGTTGATTGGATCAGCCTCCCTACTCTCAGCCAATTTGCTCTCAGCTGTTTTGCGCAGGGATCTGCTGCTTGCTGCAAGGAGGTAAATTGCTGGAGCAGATTTTTTTTTCCTTGTGCTAATCAAGCTATGCTGAAAACGAAAACGAAAGTAAAGCAGGCTGTTTGCTGTTTGCTGCAATGAGGCAAAATTGCTCGGAGGCAGAGGCAGATTTCTTTTTCTTCTTTTCCTCACCAAAAAAGGTAGGTGCGTCTTATAGTCCAGTGCGTCTTATATGCCGAAAAATACGGGTAATTGTTTGAACTGTTAGGAAATTTCTCCTTATACATACAGGTAGTCCATGGCTTACAACCATTCATTTAGTCACCAAAGTTACAACAGAACAAAAGAAAATAACTTATGACTGGTATTCAACTTTATGACTGTTGCAGCATCATCCATGGTCATGTGATCAAAATCTGGGAACTTGGCAACTGGCATGTATTTATGACGGTTGCATTTATCATCATGTGATCATCGTTTGTAACGGTTCCAGATCAGGGGTGAAATGCTCCCGGTTCGGATCCGGTAGCGATGGAGGCGGGAGAACCGGTAGCAAAAATCCCTGCCCCCCCCCACCATGCTCAGCTGAGCCGCACGATCATCAGAGGCTTTTTTTCTTTTAATTGCCTCTGACGATCCAAGCTGAGTTGCCTGATCGTCAAGCTAAATTTGACGATCCAAGCTGACGATCCAAAGTGATGCCTGACGATCCAAGCTGAATTGCCTGATCGGCAGAGGCTTTTTTTCTTTTAAAAGGCTCTGACGATCCAAGCTGAGTTGCCTGATCGTCCAGAGGCATTTAAAAGGAAAAAAAAGCCTCTGCCGATCAGGCAATTCAGCTGGGATCATCAGAGCCTTTTGAAAGCATTTTTTTTACAACCTCTTCGCCGAAGAGGTTGTAGAAAAAATGGTTTTAAAAGTTTTTTTAAAAAATTGGCCACACCCACCCAGTCACATTACCCCTCCCCCCACCAAGCCACGCCCACAGAACCGTTAGTAACAAATTTTAGATTTCACCACTGTTCCAGATGGCTTCCGATAAGCAAAGTGAAGCCAAATTCTCTTAACGACTGCAATGATTCCTTTTTTTTTAATTTTAAAAACAAACTTTATTCAATATAAAAAGATAAAAGATTGTACAAAACGTTCTTAACTCTAAAAAAGAAAATACAATTCTAAATTACATATCTACTAAAACTAACAAACAGGGTTCTCTATCTATAATATTTAAACATGTGAATATATATATACATTAACCTTGATTTCTTAATGACGGTGTATAGTATTACCAAATATGGGACAGATGGTATGAATGGATCAATCGATGGGAAAAAAAACTAAAGTCAAATACAGTAAGAAATGAAAGGTAACAAATATAAACAACTACAATGATTCGCTTACCAGCCGTGGTACGAAAGATTGTAAAATGGAGCAAAACTCACTTAGCAACCACCTTGCTTAACAACAGATATTTGGGGCCAGGTGTAGTGAGTTGACAACTACCTGTGTAGGTTTCAGCTTTCTCTTCAAAATGTTTAGCTGTCTGCTTGTTACGCCAAAAGCAAGTATGGAATAGCACTCGTACGTTTCTCTTTGCAGGTCCAAGTTAGCTTCAGCTTCCTAGCTGTACAGTTGATCAAAATGAGAGAAGCTAAAAAGGTAAGTTGAGGTTGGAGGATGAACTGTGTCATCTGCTTCCTCCTCTATAAAATATGCTTTCTTCCCATCCCCACTGGCTTATGCAGGGGTGGGCTGCTGGGGGTTCGCAAGAGTTCGGGAGAACCTCTAGCTAAGATTCTGTGCAGTTCGGAGAACCCCCAAATCCCACTCCTGGCTGGCCCTGCCCCTCCCTTCCCAGGAGTTCCCACGCGGCCCGTTTTGGATGCAGGTAAGTGCAGGACGTGCATGAAGGCTCAGGGAGGGTGAAAAATGGACCTACCGGAGGGCCTCTGGAGCCTGGGGAGGCCGTTTTCGTGTTTCCGGAGGCTCGAGGAAAGCCTCCAGAGCCTGGGGAGGGCAAAAATGCCCCCCCTGCTGTTAAGGATGTTGTTGTGTTACCAACCAACAGAGTGTAGAGCACAGAGAAACGTTGCTGAGAGCAATGAATAAGAGATATGCAAACTGGTTTATCAAAAGTTTACTTTATAGTAGAAAAACAATCTCATAGTCTTTAAACAAATTCCAAGTCTTTGCCAGTTAAATCAATCCAGTAGTTACAGAATCTTCTTACCAAACAAACATTAGTTGGTTAGAATAACAAACTCACTCTGGTTCACAAACCATGATGGTAGCAGATCCATCAAACGATGGCTTCGGTCAGGTCAGCTTTTTTAAAAAAAAAATTGATTTATATGCCGCCCTTCTCCGGAGACTCAGGGCGGCTTACAATGCGTTAAGCAATAGCCTTCATACTTTTGTATATTTATACAAAGTCAGCTTATTGCCCCCACAACTGTCAGCTTCAGGGTTGACAGTCACAAATAGTGATCACATGACAACCATCATCAATACATGTTGGTTGCAAAGCACCCGGATTTTGATTATGTGAGTGTGTAAGGATGCTGTAGCAGTTGATGTAGAAGGGCCGATCATAAGTCACAATTTTCAGTGGTGTTGTGACTTCAAACGGTCACTAAAACGAACAGTTGTAAGTCAACTACGTGTACCTGCTTCTCATGTTTCTTCCCCTTCCATCATGTCCAGATTGTCATAGAAACGGATACCTCTTCCTTTGAGTTTGACTTCCTGTCATCGGACGATCTGGAACAAGCAGTCAGCCACATGATTACTTCCCTCAAAAAGGTTTTTCCGGGATCCTCACCTGGGTAAGGAGTTGTCAGGGATGATAAACCGGTAAAGATGTCCCAAAGCTGCTTTTTCCAAGAGGCAACTCGACTTCCTTGGGGTTTTATTTTTTTCCTTCTTCAGAACTTCTTCAGAAGCTTCTTGGATGAGAAGTTCTTGGATGAAAAAGCTTCTTGAGTTCTGAAGAAGTGAAAAAGCTCCTTCGATGAGAAGTCAAATGTTTTCAAGGGGGAAAAAAAACATGAAAGTCCAGTTGCTTTTTTAAGAAAAAAAACACCTTTGGGACAACTATGACCTGGATGATTGAGAACGTCCATAGACATAGGTAAAGGTAAAAGTTCCCCTTGCACATATGTGCTAGTCGTTCCTGACTCTAGGGGGTTGGTGCTCATCTCCGTTTCAAAGCCAAAGAGCCAACGCTGTCCGAAGACGTCTCCGTGGTCATGTGGCCGGCATGACTCAACGCCAAAGGCGCACGGAACGCTGTTCCCTTCCCACCAAAGGTGGTCCCCATTTTTCTACTTGCATTTTTTACCTGCTTTCGAACTGCTAGGTTGGCAGAAGCTGGGACAAGTAAAGGGAGCTCACCCCGTTACGCGGCACTAGGGATTCGAACCGCTGAACTGCTGACCTTTCTGATCGACAAACTCAGCGTCTTAGCCACTGAGCCACAGTGTCCCTTTACCTTTCTATAGACAAACAACCACTAAAAATGGAATCTAGGCGTTACCATTGATAACTTGGCTTTCTAGGTCTTGCCGAATTACAGCTCTCGGCATCTTTCGGAGAGCTGTACAGCTCTCAGCATGTTTTAGAAAAGTCTATTCAAAAGCGATGGTTGAGATGTTGTGACTAAGATTGAATAGGATCGCTTTTTAATTGTTCAATACAATATTTATATATTCTGATATCAAAGCCATTGTGAAGGGATAGAAATATAAAAATAACATGTTTTTTTTTTTTAAAAAGCAGTAGCTTCTGTCATCCAGCCAGCTCCCCTCTCCAAAGGAAGAAACTTTGAAATAAAACGGTATTCGGCACCTTTTTTTCCCCCTTTTAGTAAAGTTATTTCTTTAATGCTAATTTAATCACCCTCTTGATATTAAAGAGATCTCCTCCAGAACGCCTCTCCCAGCTTGCTTGCGAGAATTCAAGGGACGACCGATTCGTTGGAAGAAGCATGGAAAGAAAGTCCTTGTGGTAATTCAACTATTTGGAAATTAATGGGGAGAAAACTATTCCGAGTATCGTATTTTTCGGAGTATTAGACGCACCTTTCCCCACCCAAAAGAAGGTGAAAATCTGGGTGCATCGTATACTCCGAATGTAGCCCCGCCCAGCCTCGCAAACAGAGATTTCAGAGGCTGAAAGAAGCCTCTGAAAGAAGCTTCAGAAAAAAAGCCTCTGAAACGAAGCTTCAGAAAAAAAGCCTCTGAAAGGCTTTTATCTAAAATAAGCAAGTGCGACTCTGAGATTCGAATCTATCTCCCAGCTGATCTTGAGACTATATCCACTATATCCACTACCAAATTGTACTTTTATTTAATGTGATTTTGTGGATTTTTAGATTAATTGATGGCTCTCTGTAAAGTTATGCCAACTCTTCCCCCGCCTTCTATAATATTTAGCATCTCCTCCTGCTTACAGGTGGATTCTCAGAGACCTACGCTGCCCTCTGCGATTACAGTGGCCTTTCCGTCCAAGAGGAAATCCAATGGGTAAGGTGGAACGCTAGGAAAGAGAGGAGTCATTTTTTAGCTCAGTTGCAAACATAAAAAAAAAAAAAACTTTAGGCTTTGTAGAACCATCAACTTCGGTGTGTCGACGCACAATTCAGGCAAGGGCTGCAGCTAGTGAGATCAGAAATCCTACAAAGGAATCCTTATTGAGAATTTTTTTCAAAAGATTTGTTGTTGTTAGTTGCGAAGTCGCGTCCAACCCATCACGACCCCATGGACAATGTTCCTCCAGGCCTTCCTGTCCTCTACCATCCTCTGGAGTCCATTTAAGCTCATTTCAAAAGATGGAGACGGTCAATTTGTTGCCTTTGGGACTAACTGTGTCTTTACAACAGATTCATTTGTCAACCAGTAAATTATTTGAAAGATTCTGTCAGAGTTTGTTGCAGAAATCAAATCCAGAAAGCACACACAGGTAACCGATTCAGCAGGGTTCATTAACTTCTCTTTATATATAATAGAACACATGAAAATAAATATACATTGCCAACAGCAGAGGTGAGAACAGTTTTCAGTTCAGAGTTGCAGGCAGACTAGACTAGTTTCAGTTTCACTTCTCAGCACAGCACTCAGAGCTACAGAGCCACGCCCAGGCTCCTTCCTGTCTCAGCTCCTATTGGCTGACCTTGTTACTAAGCCCCATTCATTGGCTGACCTTGTTACCGTGTCTCTGCCAGTCATGAATTCTCTGACAAATTCAGGAATGGAAGATTTGTGGGTTGACATTCCAAAATTGCTATTTTTTCCAAGATCAACTTCACACAGATTTTCTTCGAGGTAAAGGTGGAGCGTTCGCTGCAAATTGCTGTGCTCGACCCAATAAGAAATTAGCTCGAGAATGTGTGCGTTTCACCCTCCTTTATTTACAGAAATATAAGGTGCTTGGTCTGCTGCTTTTAGCACTTTCCCTACTACATTTTTAGCAATATGCCTACAAACTACATGTTCTCCCAGACCTTCAGATGGGTCCTTAAGGAACCCCTGGCAGTTTTTACATTGTAGGGAGCAGGGATGTCCAAATGTATAAACTCTTCTCTTTTTTGTTATTTTTAATTATTTTGTTATTTTATTTTAATACAAACAATCCATCTTCCATTAAACAGCGTGTCGTCTGGGTACAAATATCTTGTGCAATAACAATTAAAATTTACAGCCATATTCATTATTTGTCTACTCATTCTCAGAGACTCTTCCCATCCTGCTTACAATCTTTTTGGACTGTTGCCTTCTGGCAGAAGATACAGAACAATTAAAACTCGGACCACACGTTTTCTGAATAGTTTTTCTCCCAGAGCTATAATTGCACTCAACAACGAACTAAAGGGCCACCATCAGTGAGCTGTTGAACAGTATTACTTGGTCTGTTGTGTGAATGTTTGGGTGGTTTAGGGGTGGGGAATTGTGGTGGATGGGAGTGTGTTTGGAGATTGTTATGTGTGTGGGACCTGGTCTTTGGGTGTTAAGTGAATTTCGTTGTATGGGTATACTGTGTATACATGTACAATGACAATAAAGTTATTATTATTAATACTGATATACATAGCATATCTAATACTGTCACAATCCTCTTCTTAACTTATTTAATTCTATTGATATATTTTCTATATTTCACTAATCTACTTTTATTTCTAACTTTCATATTTATTCTCTAGCCATTGGTAGAATAGTTCCCATACAACATAATATTCAGTTTGTTCCTTCTCTTTAATTGCAAGTGTTAACCTATTCATTTCTGCACATTCTAATATTTTCCCAATCACATTCTCATCCGTGGGAATCTCTTCACTTTTCCAATTTTGTGCAAACACAATTCCATCTGCAGTTATTACATGTTATTTTTTAATTTTGAAGAAGGTCATGGGGGCAGTCATTTTCTCTCGGAAACAAACTTTGCCTTTAGAACTCAGGGAGGGAAACATGGGCAGTATTAATGTAGAGCTGACTTGTATCTGGCAGCCGAGATGAGCCAGAGGAAGATGGAGAGAAAGTGACAAACAAACGATGGGATTCCACCTGACCTGCTTGAGTTCAGAACAGAGTAACAGAGTGGGAAGGAACCTTGGAGGTCATCTAGTCCAACCCCCTACTCAAGCAAGAGACCTTATAGTACCCTTCCAGAAAAATGGCTGTCCAATCTCTTCTTAAAAGCCTCCAGTGATGGAGCACCACTTCTGGAGGCAAACTGTTCTATTGATTAATTATTGTCACTGTAAGGAAATTTCTCCTTAGTTCTAGGTTGGTTCTCTCCTTGCTTGGTTTCCATCCGTTGCTTCTTGTCCTGCGTTCAGGTGCTTTGGAGAATAAATAGATCCCCCCCTCTTCTCCGGGACAGCCTTCCAAGTACCAGAACACTGCTATCAAAAGTTACAACTGGTCCTTCTTTTCAATAGAAAACTTCTCAATTTTCCCTAGATCGTTTCAAAACACTTCGGTCCGCAGCAAAGATAGTGACCATTCACTAATCACAAATTCCTTTTGTTGTTGTTGTTGTTGTTAATTTTATTTAGATATTTTCTCTTTGTATACAATAAGTGCTTAGCGAACAGCATACTGTCTGAGTCAGTTTGTTTACATAACAATATTAAACTCCTAATTTCTGCCTCTGATATCCAACTATTTATTTATTTATTTATTTATTCATTCATTCATTCATTCATTCATTCATTCATTCATTCAATTTATATCCCACCCTTCTCCTAGTGGACTCAGGGCGGTGCACAGTCAAAACTAAAACACATATCAATACAAAATTTAAAATTATTAAAAGAATTATATAACTGTGGCCCAAAAATTTAAAACATTGAAAACTAAAACCCATTTGACAATTTAAAAAGCTAAAAAAGACTAAAAAGGGGGGGAGGGGGGTGTTTCACGCCAGCCCTGCTTGATGGAAAAGAAAAGTTTTTAGGGCATGGCGAAAGACCCGGAGGTCCGATATCCTTCGTATCTCCGGGGGCAAATCGTTCCAGAGGGCAGGAGCTGCCGCAGAGAAGGCCCTCCCCCTGGGGGTCGCCAGCTGACATTGCCTGGCTGACGGCATCCTGAGGAGTCCCTCTCTGTGGGAGCGTACCGGTCGGTGGGAGGCTATCGGCGGCAGAAGGCGGTCCCGCAAATACCCAGGTTCAAAAATATTCTGTGTCTCCTTTTTCTTTTATCTTCAATATTAATCTGTCCATTTCTGCACAGTCTTAATATTTTCTTATTGGCCGTTAAAAGAAGACTTTTTCCCCCCCCTCCTAGGATGTGGATAATATTTATCACGCCCGGGGATGCAGAGAATTCAACCTCTTGGATTTTAACCACCTGCCCAGCCAGTGAGTTTATATAAAAGAATCCTGGGGGAAGGCTTGGATGTGCAAATTGTAGGCTGGAGTTTGTGTGACCGCAATCACGAAAGAGTGTTAAAATTGAAACACCTGCAACCCCCAATTCAGTGGTGAAATCTAAAATTTGTTACTACTGGTTCTGTGGGCGTGGCTTGGTGGGGGGGGGCAATGTGACTGGGTGGGCGTGGCCATTTAAAAAAACTTTTAAAACCATTTTTTCTACAACGTCTTCCGTGAAGAAGTTGTAAAAAAATGCTTTCAAAAGGCTCTGACGATCCCAGATGAGTTGCCTGATCGTCAGAGGCTTTTTTTTTTCCTTTTAAATGCCTCTGCCGATCTGGCAACTCAGCTGGGATTGTCAGAGGCATTTAAAAGAAAAAAAAGCCTCTGATGATCGCGCGGCTCAGCTGGGCAAGGGGGGGCGGGGCAGGGATTTTTGCTACCGATTCTCCGAACCACCAGCCTCTTCTTAAAAACCTCCGGTGATGGAGCATCCACAACTTCAGGAGGCAAGCGGTTCCACTGGTTAATTGTTCTCACTGTAGTTAGATGAGATTCTTCTTGAACTGCTATCTTAGCTACAACACTTTCCAACTGGCACTGAAATTATCTTTGTATGTTGCTTTTATTTTTCTGCAGAGATATCGCTCTTTGTGTGGCCAGTTTATCGTTTAATCAGTGGTTTACAAAGCTAAGTTGCAAAGACTTCAAACTGGTGAGTGCAGCAGCTAGCCAAGAGACCTAAAAAATCTCCTCCCATCTAAAGAGTAGGAACCAAAGCTGGAGGCAAGGACGTAATAAAAATGGAGCATCGTGAATATGTTAAAGCATTCAGCTGTACAGCATTAAATGGGAGGAGTGTCAGGGTAATGATGATTTAAAACTGACCAGCCGCTGTAAGGCTGTGGACCGGGATGAGTTAGCGAGGTTATTGCCGCTTTAAGAAGATGTCTATATAAGGGAGGCCATGAGAGAGTGTATCTCTCTCGTCTTGTGTATCACTCTCCTCGTTGTGTTCTATCTGCATTGTAGCTCTCCATGTAGAGGTGAAGAATGATTGCTTGCCTGGTATGTGCCTACCACTTGTATGTCTGTATATAGAAGTCTTGTATATAAACCACTGTTTGTAAGACAAACCTCTATGTCCTGTATTTTGCTCCTGGGTTGTCTCAACATATAGTCACGCTGTAAACACTCTGACACAGGTTTAACCCTAATCAAAATTTAGCACATTGTATAAAAGCATCTTAATGTGCTAAAATTATTGTGTGAGAAGCAGAGGTGAAATCCAATTTTTTTTACTACTGGTCCTGTGGGCGTGGCTTGGTGGGCATGGCGTGGCTTGGTGGGCATGGCAGGGGAAGGATACTGCAAAATCTCCATTCCCACCTGATTCCAGGGGAAGGATACTGCAAAATCTCCATTCCCACCCCACTCTGGGGCCAGCCAGAGGTGGTATTTGCTGGTTCTCCAAACTACTCAAAATTTCCACTACCGGTTCTCCGAACTGCTCAAAATTTCCGCTACCAGTTCTCCAGAACCTGTCAGAACCTGCTGGATTTCACCCCTGGTGAGAAGGGTTACAGTCTGCTCTGGAATAAAATAGTTTTTAATGTTTCCATAACCAGGCCGGGATGAGATAATGGTCAGAATGGAAGATGAGAAAGAATAGATGAAGTTGGATAGAAATATAATAAGGCCTTTCAAAACTGATTATTGATTATTAACCTGCTGTAGACCAGTAAAATGTCAAGAAGTGTCTGGCGATTCTTTGATCACAACTTTCACTCTTTTCCGTAACTTGGAAGGAGAACTTTTTCCCTCTGTTTTCGGTTTCTTATCTTTGTCTGTGTGTGGCTCTTTTCCTTATAACAGAATCAGGTTATTTTGGAGGAGATCCTTCTGGCCCTGAGAAAATCAGTGACTTTGAAAGAGTTGGAGCTGGAAAACTGTGGCTTAAAATGGTAAGCAAAGGCCCTTGAACTACAGCTTCCTTAGAAATTTAAGAAATAAAATTCTAACTGTAGTAAAATGTGGAAGCTTTCTGACAATTGAGTTTGCATTAGAGTAGCCAACTATGAGCTCCAATAGTTTAAAGCAGTCTGCAGAAGAAACACTGCAGTTATTCAGAGGTGAGTAAACTATCTTGGAAAATAACCAAACGAAAGAACTCCAACCCACAAAAACAAAACAAAACAATTTAATGAAAGAGAATGAATCATTGCTATTAGTAATGGTAGCAGTAAAATGTGTATACTGGCCGAGTCCCAATGACTCTGGGTAGTTCAACAAATTTGATTTGTTTTAAAACTATTACTTTTACACATAGTTACATTATAATTTCGGAGAAACCAAAATACTGTATTTTCAGCTATTCATGTTGTGCACAAATGCAGCCCATCCACACCATTGAAAAACTCAAGCACTTATGTAGCCTTAGAAGGACATTCATAGTTCCAGATTGACTTTAGCTGTTTTTCTTTGTTGTTGTTATTTGCGAAGTCAACTAACCATTGGCCCATTGCGATCCCATGGACAACGTTCTTTCAGGTCTTCCTGTCCTCCACCATCCTCTGGAGTCCATTTAAGCTCATGCCTACTGCTTTGGTGATTCCATCCAGCCACCTCATTCTCTGTCATCCTCTTCTTCTTTTGCCCTCAATCTTTCCCAGCATTAGGCTGTCCTTCCTTCTCATTAGGTGGCCAAAGTATTGGAGTTTCATCTTCAAGATCTGGCCTTCTAAAGAGCAGTCAGGGTTGATCTCTGCTATTTTTCTAGGTTACATTTATACATTAATCAGAAGCCAAATCAGAAATCAGACATATCCAATTGGACTGTGGTCAACAATTCTGCTCAACCTCCTTGTGACCACAAGTTCTCCTTCCACGTTTCCATTGAGTGTACACCAAACTGCAGGCTGTCTCTCAATCTCAAAGCTGGAAGGGAAGTCAGGGATAGTCCTCAAAGTTATACTTTATGCATGATTGTATGTTTGGTCTCCTTTCCTCCCTTTCTCTTCAACCCAGGCTGGGTTTCATAAATGTTTGATATACTTTGGAAGCACAGAATGAAAGGAAAACCCATTAAATCCTGAATTGTTGTCAAACAGTTGAAATCAGAGGACTATCTCCCCCTCCATGGTGCTTGAGTTGTGTTGTGAAAAATATGTCATGGATAAGACACAGCACCTCAAAGGAGGGAGCAAACTCCAGACAACTACAAATATTTGCTCACAGCCTTGTTATATCTCTCTGCATGGATTCTTTGTTATTGTGTGATATTGTCTTTTGTAGTGACTTTGCGCAGCAGATGGCCCTTGTCCTTCAAGAATATCCAGATTCTGCATTAAACAGCCTTAATCTCTCTAGAAACCTCCTGGAGGACCGAGGTAGGACATTCCCAATGTCTCAGCAGATGCTTTGAAGTAGGATTTCCCATAATCTGGCCATAAAAATTGGATTGGATTCATCATTATTGTTCAGCTTTTCAACTGTCATATGATTAAAATGGTATGATAGAAATGGATCTGAACTTACTGGTGGAATTATATAGCCAGGGCCATGGTGCCATCTTCCTCCACACATTGGAGGGAGCCCACCATGGAAGAGACTGTGGAGAGTTGGTACCATGGTTAACATGTTGATCAGATCTAGGAAGATCCAGGTTCAAGCCCACATTTAGACGTGGAAAGTTATTGGGAGAATTGGAATAGAATAGAATATAATTCTTTATTGGCCATGTGTGATTGGACACACAAGGAATTTGTCTTGGTGCATATGCTCTCAGTGTACATAAAAGAAAAGATACATTCATCAAGAATCATAAAGTACAACATTTAATGATATTCATAGGGAACAAATAAGCAATCAAATCATATTAGGAAATAGTCAATATAAATCGTAAGGATACCAGCAACAAGGTTACAGTCATGCAGTCATAAGTGAGGGAGATGGGTGATAGGAGCATTGAGAAGATTAATAGTAATGCAGACTTAGTAACTAGTTTGACAGTGTTGAGGGAATTATTTGTTCAGCAGAGTGATGACGTTCGGGAAAAAACTGTTCTTGTGTCTAGTTGTTCTGGTTTGCAGTGCTCTATAGCGTCATTTTTAGGGTAGGAATTGAAACAATTTATGTCCAGGATGCGAGGGGTTTGTAGATATTTTCACAGTCCTCTTTTTGACTCATGCAGTATACAGGTCCTCAATTGAAGGCAGGTTGGTAGCCATTGTTTTTTCTGCAGTTCTAATTATCCTCTGAAGTCTGTGTCTGTCTTGTTGGGTTGCAAAACCAAACCAGACAGTTATAGAGGTGCAAATGACAGACTCAATAATCCCTCTGTAGAACTGTATCTGTAATTTAAGCCAATTATGGCAGAACCTCAGATGGGTGTATGCATCTGTATGAATTTGCTCATGAATCCTTCACAATACAAACCTGTGATACAGTATAAGCGGAAAACTACTGGTATAAATGGTGGGTTACACCATCTCTATGACTTGTCTATGGTTGGCTTGCTCTGCCTACAGGTATAATTGCTCTAAGCCAGACCTTCGAGCAAAGGAACAAGGGTTTCCAGTCCTTGAACTTCGCAAGGACTTCTGTGACTCAGAAAGGTAAAATCCCATCCTTGTTCTTCTCTACAAAGTTTCTAATGATGATTCCACCTGTCTGAAATCCACAAACTCTTTTCTCCATTGGATCCCTATTGCTGTCCTACTGTGAGACCTATCACTGTGACTGGAGGCCTTTTACTTGCATAAACTATAGCTTGTTCAGTTTACGTCTAAATCCGACACTGTGCACATTCCTTCCCCAAGATTTTCTCTAAAATTATTTCTTTGAGAGGAGGACGTTCTGAAGGAAATTCTCTGTTGTGTAATTTGAATGAGGCCTGGAGAATTTCTCTGCCCAGGTATACTCTTAACATTATATTTTTGACTATGTCTTATTAGGTATGATGGCCTTATGTCAATCTTTCATCAACAATGGACAATTCAGAATCAGCTTATCCCACCTGGACCTCTCTGGAAATCCAGGAAGTTTGTTGGCTGAAGGTGGAAATGTAAGTGTGAATGATTTATGGCAGGGGTCAGCAACTCGTGGCTCTGGAGCCGCATGTGGCTCTTTCATCCCTCTGTGAGGCTCCCTGTCGCTCAAAATATGCGTGACAAACGCCAATGTGCGATACCCAATGACCTGCAATTTATTGAGCTTTTCGACCCCAATAGGCCAACCATGGATAAATCCAAGAAAAGTTTCAGAAGAAAACAGAAGGTTTAATTCAACTACATATGCTAGTTTTGTGGCCTCTCAGGAAATAGTCAGGCACTGGAAGGGTTTTGTGGCTCCCGGTGTTTTCTTTTCTGTGGGAAATGGGTCCAAATGGCTCTTTGAGTGTTTAAGGTTGCAGACCCTTGTATGGGAGCAGTTTAACAAATAACCCTGCCTTCTTCACTCCTTAAAACAGAGAGAAACAGATAATCCCAGTTCCCATGTGAGTTTTGTTAAATGTGTTAAGTGAGTTTTGCCCCATTTTACGACTTTTCTTGCCACATTTGTTAAGTGAACCACTGCGATTGTTAAAACTACTAACATCGTCGTTAAGTGAATCTGGTTTTTCCATCGGCTTTGCTTTTCAGAAAGCCACAAAAGAGGATGCTGCAACCGTCATAAATGTGTTATGTTATGTTATGTTTATTGTACTTGCATACCGCCCTTCTCCTGAAGGACTCGGGGCGGTGAACAGCCAGCAGATAAAATACAGAAAATACAAAATTTAAAACAATATTAAAATCCAATTAAATTAATTTGGCCCACAGTTAAAACACCTCTATATTAAAGCCCATAATTTAACGATTTAAAATTAAAACAATTTAAAAAGTTAGGTTAGGTCAGCCCGGCTTGATGAAACAGAAACGTCTTTAAGGCACGGCGGAAAGTGTGCAGATCCGGGATCCACCGTATCTCCGGGGGCAACTCGTTCCAGAGGGTAGGTGCCCCCACAGAGAAGGCTCTCCCCCTGGGGGCCACCAGCCAACATTGTTTGGCCGACGGCACCCTGAGGAGCCCCTCTCTGTGGGAGCGTACTGGTCGGTGGGAAGCTACCAGCGGCAGAAGGCGGTCTTGTAAATACCTGGGTCCTAAGCCATGGAGCGCTCTAAAGGTGGTAACCAATACCTTGAAGCGCACCCGGAAGACCACTGGGAGCCACTGCAGCTCACGCAGGAGAGGTGTTACATGGGAGCGCTGAGTCACCCCCATCACCACCCGCGCGGCCGCATTCTGGACCAGTTGGAGCCTCCGGGTGCTCTTCAAGGGGAGCCCCATGTAGAGAGCATTACAGTAGTGATGTGAACCTTTGGTCCCGCCATCTGAATGTAAATCACATGACCATGGGGATGCTACAATGGTCATAAGTGTGAAAAATGGTCATAAGTCACTTTTTTCAGTGCCCAGACTGTTGTAAGCCGAGGACCACTTGTAGTAAGGATTAGATGGGAAATGAAATCTGTGATGAAAAGATAAATTAAGTCTATGTTATGTGGTGATTTGCTTTGTTGGTGGCAGTTAAATAACTGATACACTTTTGTCTGGTTATAGCCAAAGGCTTTGCAATTCAAGCATGCGAAAGGAGTGTTAAAATGCAGAAGCATTTCAGTTTAATTGCTCTCAAACCAATAAAAGTAGATTTCAAAACATAAAGCCATTTCACATACTCATATCCTTTGCAGTCAACTGTATCCCACAAGAGAAAAATTGCTTTCCATTTTTCTGGCTATTTCAGCAAACTTTGCCACCAGCTCAGTGACTACATAGTTTTCACCCATCAGAGATTTTATGACTATCAGCATCTGAGGAGCCGTTCTAATTGTTGACAAAATGTTCCTTGTAGAATTGACACATAATTGGTGAAAGAGTAAATAAGGCAAAATATTTGCAGTTTCCCCCAATGAAAGAGATAACATTCACGGTTCACTAATTTTGCTTGTACTCCTGAAACAATTTCCCTACTAATTAAATAGAATTGTGGTGGGAGATATAACTGGCATGGATTTTTTAAATGTTATCTTTGAATCTGAATTTGGATCGTGAGTCGTTTGAGCAATGCTGTGATATTTTTAATATTGTTCCACCAGCTACCATCCTGCTTACCTAGGTAAGATAGTGGAGTAAAAGCCTACACTTTGTTGTGTGACACGGTCCATATTTAGTTCACTCCTTACAAGTAAAGGGGAATATTTTAGTGAACTAAAATAATGTTTTAAGGCTCCCTTAAAAATCGGGCTTTATAAGGCCAAGTGCTTATTTCAGGGTTCAGGGTGTCCTCCTGGATTCACGGCTATCTTTAGAAGAGCACATGACGGCCGTGGCCAGGGGGCCCTTTTATCAGGTTCGCCTGATTCACCAGTTGCGTCCCTTTCTGGATCAGGACACCTTGCACACGATCACTCATGCCCTAGTTACCTCCCGTATGGACTACTGTAATGCTCTCTACATGGGGCTCCCCTTGAAGAGCACCCGGAGGCTCCAGCTGGTCCAGAATGTAGCCGCGCGGGTGATTATGGGCGCAGCTCATTGTGCCCATGTAACACCTCTCCTGCGTTGAGCTGCAGTGGCTCCCGGTGGTCTTCCGGGTGCGATTCAAGGTGTTAGTCATCACCTTTAAAGCACTCCATGGCTTAGGACCTGGGTACCTACGAGACCGTCTTTTGCCACCAATAGCCTCCCACCGACCAGTTCGTTCTCACAGGGAGGGACTACTCAGGGTATCGTCAGTCAAATTATGCCGACTGGCGACTTCCAGGGGGAGGGCCTTCTCTGTGAGGGCTCCAACCCTTTGGAATGAACTGCCCCCGGAGATACAGAATATCCCTGATCTCCGTGCTTTCCGCCGTGCCCTCAAGACCCTGATGTTCCAACAGGCAGGGCTAAACATACGAACATGTGAATGATTTTTTAAAATGTTATCTAATTCTGGGTTTTATTTAATTGGCCAAACTAAGTAATAATTTTAATTAGCAATTTTATGATGTTTGTGTGTCTATATTTTTCTTGGCTGTACACCGCCTTGAGTTCTACGGGAGAAAGGCGGTATAGAAATATAATAAATAAATAAATAAATAAAATAAAAAAATATAAGACAGGGAAACACGGTAGAAGTTCTTGACAAGAGCACAGTAGCAATTTCTCTCCTGACTCTTTTTTTTCCAGGGCTTGTTTTCCTTCCTGAGTCAGCCAAATGTTTTGGGTCATCTCAATCTCTCTGGGTCAGACTGTGCTCTGGATATGGTGAGCAACTACCATAGCAACCATTGTTTCCGATCCTCCTGGAATGTGTGACATCCTGTCCTTTCCTCTGCCTCGTTTTGGTGAAGTCCATCATGACTGCAAAGAATGTCATGAGCACCTGCAGTGAAAGGACAGGGAAGCCTCCTACGTTAAGCCAGGCAGCTGCTCCATGAGTTGACTTGTATCTCACAATCTTCCTGGCTATTTTTATTCCTCTTGCCAGCTCTTCGGTGCCTTGGCTGGTGGATGCTGTGTCAACCTGACTCATCTGAATCTCTGCAAGAATGTTTACTCTCACAAGTAAGAGCCTGAAATGTTTTGCTAAACTTCTGCGGCTGCTGGGGAGGGGACAGGTTGGTGAAGGGGGTGGGAAAGCTAGGTTCACTGCGCTTGCAAACACACACCTGCTTTGGGATTGTTGTGGCCCCGCCCTCTGAGCCTATCTCATCGGAGGAAGAAAGCTCCGAACATGAGGAAGAGGAGTCAGCCAGGCCTCCCTCTCCAGGCCCCTCCCCTCTGGCACTGTCTCAGGTGCCGGCCGAGGGAGAGGAGATTAGCCAGGAGCCAGGTGTCTCAGATGAGAGCGAAGGAGAGCCGTCATTCCTGGACGCACGCCAACGAAGGCGTGATAAACGGTTGCAGCAGTTAAGGAGGCGTGCTAGGGATTAGAACTGAGTCACTGGACCACACCCCAGAGACTATATAAGAGAGGGTGGTGGCTGGTAAAACTCCGTGACGAACAAAAACGAACTTTGGCTAGTCACTTGAACAACGTCTGAAGCTGCCGAAAGGGATATTGTTTTTGCTGGACTATTTGCAATGCGTATGTAATTTTATGTTATCTGTTGCAGTAAAAGCTCTTGGCAGACGGTGCTTATATTGCTGCCAAGTTTGAGATAACGACCTGTGTGCGTGCCAAGTACTTTCTTAACCCTTGGCTGGCTATGTTTGTGTGTGTGTGTGGACGGGGACAGATCAGGGATTTGCTAGAGGAACAAACACCATTAGCACAGTGGTGGGTTCGGTCCAGTTCTATAGAACTGGTAGTAAAACCAGCAGGAGGCTCTGCCCACCTGCCACAATGTCATCATGGGTGATCTGCGCGGTCCTGTTGCAAACCAGTAGTAAAGTAAGTAGAACCACCCCTGTATCAGCATTGACACAATCCCCATCTGTCAATTGCAAAAGACAGCTCTATTTGGAATAGCTTACATCCTACAACGATACTTTTAATACCATTGAATGACAACATCTGCCTCTCCCAGATCCTTTGGGAAGGATGCAACAGGTGGATAATTGTGCCAAATCTAGTCTGAACATCCTGGCTGGCTGATGAACCACAGTAAATTTTCCTAAGGACTTGGAATCAAACCACATCTGCATATCGCAAGTCCTTGGGAAGGACTCTGTTGGGAAGGATACAAATGCCAGATTCACACGAAACATCTGGCTAACTGTGCAAACAACCATAATAATGAATAATGAATGAATAGTGAATAAATAGTGAATAGTAATAGGTGCCTCATGCAAGCCCAAAACATCTGGAGCATCACTTCAATACCATCAGAATTGACAAAATCCCCAACCGTCAATTATAAAAGGCTGCTTGACTTGTAACAGCTTACATCCAGCAACACTATTTTTAATACCATGAAACAGGAACAGCTGCCTTTTCCAGGTCCTTGGTTAAGGACTCGAGAGGTGGATAAAAATGCCAAATCCAGTCTTTTTGCAGTATCCTTCCCCTGCCATGCCTACCAAGCCACCCCCACCAAGCCACCCCCACCAAACCAGGCCCATAGAACCGGTGGGAAAAAAATTTGAATCCCACCACTGGCTAGATCACATATGGTCCATAATTTTGAAGCAGGATGGAGGTGCTTTCCATTTTAAAATTACTTCTGGCTTCCGAGAGCTCTGAAGGGTTAAACTGGAGATGAGGCCAAAAAATTATTTCGGAATTTTTAATCAAACTGGCTCTCTGCTGCATAAAAGATTTGCCTGGTTCCTGATGCAAGCTGAAGTCACGATCTTGAGGATGTAATCATTGTACGTGTTTGTAATTTAGATCTTGAGGATAATCTCTGCCAGAATTTGCATTTGCACATTAAATCTTGGGAGGCCCAGAATCATTTCTCTCCTCAAGACACAGCCTACAGTAGCAATATTTCTTCTACACAGCCTCATGCAACGAACATCTACATGGTCGTTACTAGCCTTTCGTGCTTCGCAGGGAGCTGTCCAGCAAGAGTTGACAAACTGCCTTATTAGTGAGACCAAAAAAAAGGGCTGTTCTCTCGCCAGATTGTTAAACTAGAAGCAACTCTGAGCAAGATACTGCAACAGCCACCAGGCTGCAAAATTTTAAAAAGTGATGGATGAATCTATTCATTTTTATTTCCATCCTTTTTCCCCCATTCTTCTTTTGATCTACTTAGAGCATCCGTTGGAGAATTTGTGATGTGTTTTTAAAAGAAGAGAAGAGAGGAGAGGAGAGGAGGGGAGGGGAGGGGAGAGAGGAGAGGAGAGGAGAGGAGAGGAGAGGAGAAGAGAGGAGAGGAGAAGAGAAGAGAAGAGAAGAGAAGAGAAGAGAAGAGAAGAGAAGATTCTTTATTGGCCAAGTGTGATTGGACACACAAGGAATTTGTCTTGGTGCATATGCTCTCAGTGTACATAAAAGATAAATGCGCTTATGTCTGCAAGCAATAGAGAGCATTTTATATCATACTTTTCCTAATAAATACAAGGAGAGCTTTTTTTAAAAAAAGCCTTAAATTATTTTCACATCTATTTTAAAACAGTTGAAGCACCCCACAAAATTTAATCCCAGTTTTAAAATATTCAGGATCTGCAAAAAATAACGAAATAAATTGTGGTTGCTGGTTCAAAAGTGCAAAATGCCTTTCGCTGGAGAAATATTTGAAATATTTGACAGAACCGGTGGTAAAGAAATTTGAATTTTACCACTGGTCTGTGGCACTCAATTACTGCCATTTCCTGGAAGAGATGTGATTGCTTTCCAAAATTTGGTGGGTCCTCACATAAAATTTAGGAGTCAACCTTTTTTTTTTTTCCCCTCAGAAAATCCAGAGGTGATCCTTTTGCAATCGGCCAGTTCCTCAGCCAAGCCTCTGCCCTACAACACGTCTCCCTGTCTGGAACCAAGCTTCCACCAGAGGCTTTAAGGTAAAGGAGAGGGAGAAATGTTAAACTGAGTCTTCCAAGGGGAGAGACAGAAAGATGAACTATGGCCACGATATGGGACAAAATACATTAAGGAATGTGTCAACAAGAGAGTTGGCTAATTCATTGCTTGTTTCCTTTTTGGTTTTCCTCAGAGCTTTGCTTCAGGCTTTAGCCAACAACACCCAACTGAAGAATCTGAATCTGGACCTCAGTAGCTGTGAGGTAAACAGTGATTTAGAATAGAATAGAATAGAATGGAATAACAGAGTTGGAAGGGACCTTGGAGGTCTTCTAGTCCAACCCCCTGCCCAGGCAGGAAACCCTTCACCACTTCAGACAAATGGTTATCCAACATCTTCTTAAAAATTTCCAGTGTTGGAGCATTCACAACTTCTGCAGGCAAGTTGTTCCACTTATTAATTGTTCTAACTAATTTCCTAATTTCCTAGGAAGCACATCTGACTGATGGTACAAGAGCCAGTTCCAGAAATTTGAAGCGAAGAATCTGGAAATACACAGGGAACACAGTATTACAGTTCCCCCTCTCCCCTTGAGATTTCATCAAGGAGAATAAGGGGAAGTCGTTCTAAATGTCTCTGTAGATTCTCAGTCCTCGAGGTCATGGTTGTCCCCAAAGGGACAACTCACTTTAAGAGGCAACTGGACTTTCTTTGGTTTTTCTTTAAAAAACATTTCATTCTAAATGTATTTCCTGTCACTGAGAAGACTGGGGTTCCAAGATTCCATTATGCAGATATAATTTTTTGCAAAAATTGCATACCGATAGCCTTTTTTGCATTTAAACCAAGCCAAACAGAATAGGCTTGTTTAGAAAGATTGTGTTTTAGTCAATTTTACTCATTAAAGCAACCACATCTTTTTTTCAGGTTGGCCTGAAAAAAAGTGTGCCTGCTTTCATGAAAAACAATAAAAAGAAAAGCTATGTTTATGCAAGGTTAAGAGCCTTGGTGGTGCAGCGGACTAAGTGCTGTTATGTAGCACTTAGCTGCCTGCAATTAGTGCAAGTTCAAATCTCACCAGGCTCAAGGTTGACTCAGCCTTCCATCCTTCCGAGGCAGGTAAATTGAGGACCCGGATTGTGGGGGCAATAAGATGACTTTGTAGAAACACCGCTTATTGGGGGGGGGCCAAAAGCCCTAATAATCAGGTATATACAAAAGAATGAAGGCTATTGCTATAAGTGCATTCTAAGCCGCCCTGAGTCTTCGGAGAAGGGCAGCCTATAAATTGAACTAATAAATAAATAAATAAATAAATAAATAAATAAATAAATAAATAAATAAATAAACAAGGTCTACAACGCTTCATTTGAATCAATTGTAGGGGGCTACTTCTGCCATGAGAAAAAGAGACTAGTTGAATTTGGAAGATCTGTTCTGTATTTCCCCCAAAATAAGACCGGGTCTTATATTAATTTTCTCTCCAAAAGATGCATTATGGTTTATTTTCCAGTTAGGTCTTATTTTGGGAAAAATACAGTACTAAATGCCTCTGTCTGCTGATGATCTTAACTGGGGCTTATTTTTGGGGTAGGGCTTATATTATGGACATCCTGAAAAATCATGCTAGGGCTTATTTTCCGGTTGGATCCTATTTTTGCGGAAACAGGGTATTTTGTTCCTAGTCATAATAATTCCGTGCAACCTCCATGTTGGGAGATATCTGTCAATAGATATAAGCTGCTTTCAGTAGCTACAGAGAAGATATATTGATTCTAGAAGCTTCTGAAGATTAAATGGATCGTGGTTTTTCTGAATAGTTCAACGTTACTACAACAAAACTATCTGACCCTCACTAGCATGATCTTTATTTCACAGCTGAGGTCGGCAGGAGCACAAGTGATCCAGGATCTGATCTCAGATGCCAGTTCAATCTGTGACTTGAATTTGTCAGACAACGGTAGGTCAATTTGTTCTCTGCCAGCCTGTTGAGAAAAAGGGGAGAGTGATGTTTCCTACATTTTTCATCCTGACATTAACCCAAGCAGTTGTCGCTGTATCTGGATAGCGGTCAGTACAATAATCTCTCTGGCTTTCAATTCGGGATATTTGTGGGATATCCAGAGTGCTCATTCAGTTTATCACCAAGTTAGCGGGCACAAACTTCCCAAAAAGAAGCAGGTGGGGTCTTGCTAGGTTTATAGCATCTAAGTACTGCTTTGTTTGCAAGACCTACCCCTCCCCTTTTTGTTCAGCCTATGTCAGTGATGGCTTTTTGCTGTTGCATGCCAAAAGTGGGGGGAGCACAGAGGGGTTGTGGGCATGCGTGCCCATAATTCAATGCGCCCTACCCATGCACACATGACCCCCCCACTCTCCCCCTACTTGTGGCACGCGATGGTTGTCCAATCTCTTCTTAAAAATTTCCAGTGTTGGAGCATCCACAACTTCTGGAGGCAAGTCATCCCACTGATTAATTGTTCTCACTGTCAAGAAATTTCTCCTTAGTTCTAGGTTGCTTCTCTCCTTGATGAGTTTCCACCCATTGCTTCTTGTCCTGCCCTCAGGTGCTTTGGAGAATAGCTTGACTCCCTCTTCTTTGTGGCAACCCCTGAGATATTGAAACACTGCTATCATGTCTCCCCTAGTCCTTCTTTTCATTAAACTAGACATATCCAGTTCCTGCAACCGTTCTTTGTATGTTTTAATCTCATCTGCTTACATTCTGGGAATGGGAGGGGAAGGGAAATCTATTCATTTTTAAATGATCGTGTCCTTTGTTCCTTTAATGTCTCTGGCTGGCTTCCAAAAAATTCAATAAAAACCTAATAGTAAAATCTCATTTAAAAAACCCACCCTAAAATACCAATAATAAGCCTTGCCATTTTGCGAACAGTCCTTCTCCCATAAAAGCCATTGGTGAGAACAAGTCCATTGCATGCCCTCAGCATCTCCAGGGTGTCCAAGGGCTCAAAACATTTACCTCCTCCTGAATTAGAGACCTGGGGTTCCTGTCTGAACGCCTCTTTTCTGCAGGCTTTGATTCTGACATGGTGACGCTGGTTTTGAGCCTCAACCGAAGCAAATCCATTAAGCATGTCGCATTAGGGAAGAACTTTAACATCCAATCTAGGTAAGCATTCAACACTCTCTGGACATTAAAAAAAAAAGCAAGCCCAAAATAAGATAGCATTGCTCTGCTTTTGGTAAGAGTAGATCCATCTACAGGATAGGCATTGTAATTAAAAATGGTCTGCTGACGATGAGAATTTGAAACAAAGATCTGATGCTCAACTGAACATCTGGTCACATCGCAAAAAAGTCATCTCTATTGCACTCAATTGTCCAGGGTTCTAAAAGCAGGGGTCGGCTTTAAAATTTTTAGCAAGGGTTCTCTGCCCGGTTGCTGGGTGGGCGTGGCCATGGTGGGCGTGGCCTTTTCGGCCTCCTGCACCATGGGTGGGCATGGGGCATTTTTGCTCTCCCCAGGCTCCGGAGGCTTTTCTCGAGCCTCCAGGAGGGTAAAAACAACCTCCCTAGGCTCCAGAGGCCCTCTGGAGGCTGGAAATGAGCCCGTTTCCAGACTTCCCAAACTTCCAGTAGGCCCGTTTTTTGCCGTCCCCGAGCCTCTGCATTCGCTCTGCACTTAGCTGCATCCAAAACGGGCCGCGTGGGGACTCCTGGGAGGGACGGGGTGGGCGGGACCAGCCAGGAGTGGGATTTGGGGGTTCTCTGAACTGCACAGAATCTTAGCTAGAGGTTCTCCCGAACCCCTGTGAACAGAGATGAAATCCTCCTGGTTCTGACCGGATCGGGCGATCCGGTAGCGATCATGGTAGGTGGTTCGGAGAACCAGTAGCAATGGCAGAGCAAAGCTCCGCCCACCCACCCAGGTGTCTGCATGCGCATGTGACCCCTGTCTAAAAGTGTAAGTTTTAAAGGCAGAAAGGTTACAGCACTTGGAAGACTAGAACAATTTCAGTTCCTCTAGTCCAGGCAGAAGATGTTTTATAGCACTTGAAGCTTCTCCGTGAGATCAATCTACTGAGGCAATTGGAGACCTCTTACAGGAGATTTAATTATATGAATTAAAGCTCAAGTGTTGCCAAATTCTTCTTTTTTTTTTTTTATTCCCTTAGAGAGACTCTCGTTGACACCTTACACCGGATTGTTCAACTCACTCAGGATGAAGATTGTGTAAGTGAGACTTTAAAAAAAAAGAAAGCTTCATTGTTTATAATACCTCATCATCTCTGGGGCAAACTTATCAGCATCCCTATTTTTATAAATTTGAACTTCTTACAAAGGTCCATGTCTATTTGATAGCAGGCTGATAATTAAAATATAATCTGCTTTCAAAGTTTGAGTCACAGACCAGATCAATGTGCTAGACCAGGGGTGTCACGGAGGCGTCATGTGACTTTTCCCCCTTCGCTAAACGGGGCACGGGCATGGCCAGTGCGTGATGCATCCGGCCCGCAGCCCGCGAGTTTGACAGTCCTATGCTAGACTAAGCTAAAATGTGATTGGGTAATGTACCGTATTTTTTGGAGTATAAGATGCGCTTTCTCCCCCACTAAACGAGGGTGGAAATGTTGGTGCATCTTATACACTAAATACAGCCATTTTTGGCCTCCTGAAGCCCCACCCCGCTCGCCCCATTTTTGTAATAAAATAAAGTAGAGCTAGTTCTTCTGGATGTGTTTCTATTCTGGACTATCTTGCAAGGCTGATAATGTATTAGGTAAACTTGATTGTCCGCTTCAAGCTGTTTATGAACAGTGCATGCCATATGAGCTACGTTTTAACCTAGTTTAGTCAGTTGCATAACCTCAGCCACTGAGTCAGTGGAAGAGACCCAAACCTAACTCTAAAGGAATATTATTTACTTATTTATTTATTTAAATATAATAAGTTATGAAAACACAACCGTTGCTTTTGAGTTCGGCCTTGACAAGGCTTAGTACGTTGTGTGTGAACCAGCCCACTTATTCCTTGCCCTCTCTGATATGACCAAGATGGACGTTAGCACTTAGAAGGGTTCTCCTTTGTTTTTCCCTGGTTTTATTTCAGTCCCTTGAATCTGTATCAGTGGCCGAATCACGCCTGAAGCTGAGAACCAGCATTCTCCTGGATGGTTTAGGAAGCAACAGCCATCTTGTGGCCTTGGATATCAGCGGCAATGCCATGGGAGACCTGGGTGCCAAAATACTGGCCAAAGCTTTGTCGGTGAATAAAACTCTGAGGTGTGTTGGGCTTCCTCTCTATCAATTGATGAATTTGTTAGAATAATTTTTTGTTTGCCAAGGAGATAGTCAAGCTTTGTCTCTGACATGTTAAAGTAGAAGAATTGGGGGTGAGGGGGGCAAGTCTATGTCCCCAAAAGGTGAATGACTGAATAGGCTGAGTTCAGAAGCCTGAATAGGGTGAGGACTTTGTAACATGGATGGAACCCCAGCAGAAAACCTCAAGGCTATGGTGGTTGTTGTTGTTAGTTGCGAAGTCATGTCTGACCCATCATGACCCCATGGACAACGTTCCTCCAGGCCTTCCTGTCCTCTACCATCCTCTGGAGTCCTTTTAAGCTCATGCCTACTGCTTCGGTGACTCCATCCAGCCACCTCGTTCTCTGTCGTCCCCTTCTTCTTTTGCCCTCAATCTTTTTCAGCATTAGGCTCTTCTCCATTGAGTCCTTCCTTCTCATTAGGTGGCCAAAGTCTTTGAGTTTCATCTTCAGGATCTGGCCTTCTAAAGAGCAGTCAGGGTTGATCTCCTGTAGGACTGACCGGCTTGATCGCCTTGCAGTCCAAGGGACTCGCAGAAGTCTTCTCCAGCACCATAGTTCAAAGGCTTCAATTCTTTGGCCCTCATGCTTTCTTATGGTCCAACTTTCACAGCCATACATTGCAACTGGGAACACCATAGCCTTGACTATACGCACTTTTGTTGGCAGGGTGATGTCTCTGCTTTTTAGTAAACTGTCTAGATTTGCCAAGGCTATTGTAGAGGGCCACAAAGATCATCTTGAGAGAAAAAGTCAGAAGTTGTTTCAGAAACAAGGGCAAGAAACAACAAAGGCTTGGGAAAGGAGAGAGTGTAAGAAGGAGGTGAGCTCCTTCTTGACTTCTTGGAGTATGAGAGGCAGGGGAGGAAAAACACAATGTCAACTTGCAAAGCTTTCAAGTTGCCATGAGCAGGAGGGAGGGAGGAACTGAAGTGAATTCCATACATTCTTCCTGACCGCAATCAGAAGGAGGGTGTTAGGTTTCACAGCCAGCCAAAGTGGTTAATTGGAGAATGTGATTTATGACATGGCCAGAGAAGAGGGGAGAGACAGGGTCATAGGGGAACGTAAATCTACGTAGGATCAGTCCTAACTGCATCCGAGTATTGCCGGAATGTTGCTCCTAATAAATGACTGTATTTCCTTTGAAGTTTGGATCATGGCTCATGAATTAATTAGGGCCTCTTTCGGAAACTTGACACACAACCTATCTTGCAAGATTCTGTTACTATGGTTTAGCTCCCAAAAGCCTAGTTCTAATCTGCATGTGGGGTTGGTTTCTTATTTATTGCAAAAGTTTTACAATTACATTTTCACCCCTTTTTTCACCCCCCCCACCTCCCTCCCCAAACTTCCCGTCCTCCCTAACCCTCCCTAACCCTCCCCCCCAGACTTCCCTATTATGTACTCATAACTAATAATACTGATATATATACCTGAACCCATCCCTCCCCCTATATAATTTTCCCTCTTTATCTCTTTACATTAAGATATTTCTAATACATTGTTTTCAAATAAAAGCTATTTGGTACTTTCTAGTTTGGTATTTGTTCTGAACATATTCTATCCACCTTTTCCATTCCCATTCATAAGTCTCTTGTGAACAATCTTTTAAATATGCTGAAATCTTCGCCATCTCTGCAAAACTGGCCATCTTCAAAGTCCATTCCTCGATAGTAGGCAAAGCTTCATTCTTCCAATATTTACCTATCAACAATCTTGCTGCTGTTATCATATACAATATTAATTTTATTTCACCCCGTGTAAAACCCTTAACTATACCCAATAAAAACAATTGTGGAGAAAATTGAATTTTTTTCTTCAAAACATTCTGCATGACCCACCATATTTTTATCCAAAAAGCCTTAACTTTCCTACAGGTCCACCAAACATGATAATACGTAGCATCCAAACATTCGCATCTCCAACATTTTGGCTGAACATTAGGGTACATACATGACAGCTTTTTAGGATCTAAATGCCATCTATAAAACATTTTATAAAAATTTTCCCTCAGATTCTGCGACTGTGTAAATTTAACATTCTGAACCCAAATTTTTTCCCATGTTTCCAACATCACTGGTTCTTCAAAATTTTGTGCCCACTTAATCATACAATCTTTAACTAATTCCGTTTCTGAATCCCTTTCTAGCAAAACATTATAAAGCCTTTTAATATGCATTGGACCTTTCTCTCTTATATGTCTAACCAATTCTTCCTCATGCAACATAATACCAGTTTTTTGGTCCTCTTTCCATCTCAATTGTAATTGATTATATTGTAACCAGGTTAAATTAATCCCTTCGTCCAACAGTGTCTGCAATGTCTTCAGCTGCCATCTGCCCGCATCTGTAAAAAGAACCTCTTTGTATAAAAACCCCCCGAGTGACATTATATTTGTATTCCACAAGGTATGACCAAGATCCAGCCATAGCGGTATTTTATAATCCCATTTGAGTCGGTGCTTCTTCCAAACTCTCATCAAAGAGTCTCTAAGTATATGACTTTTAAATACTTTATCAACTTTGTCATCATAAAATAGGTAAGCATGCCATCCAAATTCAAGATCAAAACTTTCTGCATTCAATATTCCAGCCTTTTTACTTCCAAACCAATCACTTGTTAAAGTTAAAGCTGCTGCATCATAATATAACTGTAGGTTTGGAAGTTTAAGGCCTCCTCTTTCTGGAACATCTTGCATAATTTTCAATTTCACTCTCGGCTTTTTGTCGTTCCAGACAAACTTATTAAGTCCAGTTTGCCAAACTTTCAGTTGTTTATCACTTTTAAGCACCGGAATCATTTGAAACAAAAACAGAAATCTTGGCAAAATGTTCATCTTAACTGCTGCTATTCTTCCAAGTAAAGACAGTTGCAGCTTTTTCCAAGTCTCCATGTCTTTCTGAACCTCTCGCCACAACACCTCATAGTTATTTTGAAACAATTTCATGTTTGATTCTGCAACCTGAACTCCAAGATATTTTACCTTAGGTACAATTTCAAAACCTGCCCTCCTTTCAAACTCATGTTTACGATCTTGTGTCATATTTTTGACTATCATTTTAGTCTTTTTTGAGTTCACTCTAAAACCTGAAACTCTACCATAGTCTTGTATAATGTCGTTCATCAAGATTATTGATTCCATTGGTTGTGATAGGGTAACCACCAGATCATCTGCAAATGCCTTTATTCTATAATCCTCTTGCCTTATCATTATGCCTTTCAAAATTTTTGAGTCCCGTATTGTATTTAGCAAGACTTCCAATGTTAAAATAAATAAAAGTGGGGACAACGGACATCCCTGTCTTGTTCCTTTTTCAATTTTAAACTCTGTCGTCAAACTTCCATTAATAATAATCTGTGCTTTTTGCTCTTGATAAATTGCTGAGATCGCCTGTATAAATTGGTCCCCAAAGCCCATCTTTTTTAAAGTCTTTAGTAGAAAATTCCAATCCACTCTATCAAAGGCCTTCTCCGCATCCAAAAAAACCAGCACTGCAGAAATCTGTTTATTCTTGTCAAGATATTCCAATAAATCTATTACTTGCCTTACATTGTCCTTCATATATCTGCCCTCAATAAATCCCGCTTGGTCCGCATGAATCACCTTTTGGATTACTGGCATCAACCTGTTGGCTAATACCTTCGCATAAATTTTATAGTCTGTGTTCAAAAGAGATATTGGTCTGTAGTTCTCTGGTTTTTTAGGACCAACTTGTTCTTTTGGTATCAAAGATATATAAGCAGTTGTCCAAGATGGGGGTATTTTGCCCCCTTGTTGAATATTGCAAAATAAATCTCTAAGTTGTCCCACCATTTCAGCTTGTAAAGTTTTGTAATACACTGCGGTCAAACCATCCGTGCCAGGAGCTTTGGCTGTTTTTAGCTGTTTAATTGCTGCTGTTATCTCCTCCTCTGTTATAGGATAATTCATTCTTTCCTTTTGTTGATCAGTAATTTTTGTAACTCTCTTATCCTTTAAATATTTTTCTATAAGTCCATTCTGCACCTCTTCTTTGGCATATAGTTTAGTATAATAATCCACAAAAGCTTCTTTAATTAGTTTTTGTTGAAAGATTTCTTTCCCTCCAATATCAATACTATCAATAGTCCGTATACTTTGTTTTTTCCTCAATGTGTAAGCCAACCATCTGCCCGGTTTGTTAGCGTTGCAAAATGTATTATGCTTCGCGTATTGTAAACTTGTTGCAACTTGTTCCGCCATAAGCATTTGAAATTGGTCTTTCAAAAGTTTTATAGCACTTCGTATTCTTTCATCTGTTGGGTTTTTAATAAGTAACTGTTCTTTATTCTTTATTTCCATTTCCAACTCAAATCTTTTCTTTTGTCGGAACAGTCTATGTTTAGAATTCATGTAGATGAGTACCCCTCTCATATAAGCTTTACTTGCATCCCAAACAATTTCAATTGGGGTACCTTTATTCAAATTTATTTCAAAAAATTCTTTCAAATGCTTTTTAAGTTCTATTGTATTTTTTTCATATCTAAACAAGTTCTCATTTAATCTCCAAGAACGTCTCTCAACCTTATCCATCTCAATTTCTATCCATACAGGGCTATGGTCAGTCAAAGTTCTTGGAAAAATCTTTGTTCTTTTTGTCTTAACAAGTAGATCATTTGACAACAGGATAAAATCAATCCTAGAAAAAGATCTATGTCTATCCGAAAAAAAAGTGTAGTCCAATTCATTTGGATTATGTATTCTCCAAACATCTTTTAATTCCATATCTTCTTTCATATCAAAAAAAGTCTGTGGTAGTCTAATTCTAGACTTTGCCAAGCTCTTTTTATCTAGTTTAGAATCAATTACTCCATTCCAGTCTCCCATAATTAAAATAGATCTATAGTCCCATTGCAATATTTTAGTATGTAACATCTTATAAAAATAATCCTGTTGTTGGTTGGGAGCATAAATTCCAGTCAAAAGAATTTGACCATTTGCTGTGAGCAATTCAATTGCTACAAACCTACCATCTTGATCTGCTTCTATAACTTTCGCTGTTAATTTTTTATTTACATAAATAACCACACCATTCTTTTTCTGCGAAGTTGAAGATATATAATGTGCTCCTAGTTTTGAGTTTATCAAATATTTTTGATCTTGAGTTGTGATATGCGTTTCTTGTAAACATATTATATCATTATTAAATTGTTTCAAATATGTAAATAATTTCTTCCTTTTCTGTGCTGAATTCAACCCATTGACATTCCAAGATAGACACTTAAAGGTCATCAGCCTCTTTCTGGAGCACAGAGCAAAATATTTGAAGTTCATCCGAGAGCTTCGATCTCGCTCCTCCCATAGCTCCACTCTCTTGTACGGTACTCTTAACTGCCTTCTTGTCTTGTCTTTCCTGTTGTTGTTGTTGCTTTTGTTTAAGTAGCTTGGATTGGGCTCTAGTTATACGTTGATCTTTAACTTCTGTCAACTGAATCAAATCCAAAATTGGAGAAGAATCCAACAAGGGCTCACTCAGAAAACCTCCTTCTGCACCTTGCACGTTTTCTAATTCCTGCTTAGACTGTTCTTTCAATTGCCTCTCTTCACTCTCCTTAATCTCCAAAACTGTAGATGTACGTGGAGATGGTGTTCTTTCCTTAAGAATAGTACTGTAAAAGTGTTGTGCCTTCTCCACGGTATTCAACTGATATCCTTCTCCCTTATATCTAAAAATTATCCCAGCTGGTGCGTCCCACCGGAAGGGTATCTGTAAATTTCTCAATTCCTTAACAAGAAAACCAAATTCTTTTCTAGCTTTCAGCATTTTAGGAGGTAATTCTTTAAAAATTTCAAGTCGTGAGCCCCCCACTTGTACAGAAGTGTGAAAAGTTTTTTGCAGGATATCATTTCTAATTTCTCTCTCAGTAAAGTATATGACCACATCTCTAGGCAATTGTCTTTGTCTGGCCACCCAAGAGTTCACTCTGTAAATTTTATCTATTTTATGAAATACCAAATCAGGATTAGCTTGTAAAATCTTAGCCAAGGCTTCAGACCAAACCTGTCTCAAATCCTGTCTCTCCTCCTCTCGAATTCCCCGAAGCCGTATGGCAAATTCCATCGCCCGGAATTGTATCATAACAATCTCATCTTCAATTCTCTGCATTTTATTGTCAACTTCATCAATTTTATAATCATTGTCTTTCATCTTAACATTAACTTCTGATTTGAATTCTTCAACTTTAAAATCAACTTTCCCAATAAATTCTGCCAGGCCAGACGCCACTTCTGATATTTTTTTGGTCACCTTATTTTGATTCTGTTTCACCATGTCTTTAACTTCATTAATTTCCTGCATAAATTCCTGATGTGATTTTTGAAGTTTATCATCTATCTCCTGTTGACATTTTTGAAATTTGTCATCCAGAGTTTTAGAAATAAATTCTTTTAAATCTCCCACATCAAATTCTTTTTTCTGGGTTTGTAGCTGTTGAGCAGGGGGAAGTTGCGTTTGATGTTTGTGTGTGGGGGATCCCCCCCCCCCTAATGCCTTCCCTTCCTGCTTCTTTGAAGCCATCCTGGCTCGTGATCTAGTTTTTCTAAAGAGGGAAGTTCCTTTTCCTTTCCCTCCAGCACAAAGACTTCTAAAAAAGTCCCCCAGATTTGATCAAACAAGGGTTAAAATAAAGCAAAGTCCAATATTGAAAAGGGAAAAAATTTCCCAGTTATTTCTCTTATAACAAGCAAGGCAGCTTAGTAGCAACTTGGAAACTTTGTAGCAAAACAAAATAACTTCACCAATCCACACTCGCTGGCTCGTTAACTCTGAAGCTAGGCGCCATGTTTTTTCAAAGCACTTTCACTCATTCGCATTTTCTCAGATTGAAAAGTCAACAAAGTGCTAATACTTGCGTTTCCAAATTTCAGGATTCAGGTAGTTTCGCTGTTTATTAAAGCTGGTTCTTTCGCTTTAAGTTTCCTGCAGCCGGCTTGTTCTGCAAAAGCAGAATCGTCCCACGTCGCCCGGAGTTCCAGCAGGTTGGGAGGGAGCCACGCCTGTTCTCTCCCCAGAAACTTCCCTGGGGGGTTACAGGGGCTCAACCTGTGCCCTGCGATCTCTCCTTCTTCAATCCTGTGGATTTAGAAGTTTTCGAGCCGCTTCTTCGTCTCGAAGCGGCTCTACAGGCGGCGGGGCTGGCGGAGCTTCAAAGAGCGCCGCCGTCGCCGAAGACAAGGAAACCGGAAGTGTGGGGTTGGTTTCTTGATCTGGACAACCTAGAAAGGTTGATAGCCATCTACCCTGGATTCAAATGCTGAAAAAACATCTTAGAAGAAAATAGCGAAGTATTTTCAGGAGAAGTGGAACAGATATTTATAATGAGGGAAAACTTAGAAGATGGACCCAATTGCTTGATGTCTGCACCAAGTCTATTTTTTATTAGACGTTTATCTGTTCATAGGACTCTAATATGGGATAGAAACAACATAACCTTATACGGATTTCTTGATGTGATTTCAGCTTTGGAAAGGTGAGTATCTTTATCTTTTTTTATAGTGGTAGCCAAGAGCTAAAAAAAAAAATAATAATACAGAAAATAAGGAACATTTAGCAACTTCAAGTTATCCCTAACTTTTTTCTTACTAGCATCCAAGCATCTGAGATAATAACCACAACGTCAACATAAACTGGAGAGGCTGGGTCAAATGGCGTCTTTCGCAGGATGCAATTTTTATGCGTTGGAATTATTTTTAAACTTGGGTTTTGATGATGCTTAATTTGTTCACGAGTCCCTTAGCAGGATGCAAAGCCTGAAACTGAAACCCATAAAAGTGCTTCAGGCTACACAAGGCAATTAACTAAGTTAAAATTAAATATTTTTATGGGTTATAAGAAAAGGTTGGACTCAGGGGTGGGCTTCAAAAATTTTAGCAAGGGGTTCTCTGCCCGGTTGCTGGGTGGGCGTGGCCATGGTGGGCGTGGCCTAGTTGGCCTCCTAATCAGCTTCCTCAAGCCACCGGGAGGGCGAAAACGGCCTCCCCAGGCTCCAGAGGCCCTCTGGAGGCCGGAAACAGGCCCATTTCTGGCCTTCCCAAACTTCCGGTAGGCCCGATTTTTGCCCTCCCAGAGCCTCCATGCGCACCCTGTACTTACCTGCATCCAAAACATGCCATGTGGGGACTCCTGGGGGGGGGCTGCCAGGAGTGGGATTTGGGGGTTCTCCAAGCTGCACAGAATCTTAGCTAGAGGTTCTGCCGAACCCCTGAGAACCCCCAGTAGCCCATCCCTGGTTGGACTCATAAATACATTCCATAAATTCATTCCCATGTCAGAAAACCAGTCATAAGTACCTTTTTGGCAGCCTGTCGTAACTTTGAACGGTCCCTAAGCAACCAGTCATTAAGCGAGGACTACCTGTAAACCCTAACCCATTTGTTTTTTGCACAGCATGCTAAATCACAATAAAGATTGAAGGAGCTTGCACATTTAGCACAGAATACATCTTCTATCTGGCCTACTTTATAAATGTGGGAATTCAGCCATAGTACGTTGAAGGAGGATAACTGGGATCACACAGCAAAGTTACACCATAATTTGGTTCAAGAGTTGTCGGAGCCCAACCACTGTTGGAGCTTTATGAGTTTACAGGTAGTCCTCGACTTACAACAGTCCATTTTGTGACCATTCAAAGTTACAACAGCACCGGGGGGGGGAAGTGATTTATGACCATTTTTCACACTTACGACCGTTACAGCATCCCTATGGTCATGTGATCAAAACTTTTGGCAACTGCCTCATATTTATGACGGTAGAAGTGTCCCGGAGTCACATGATGCCGTCGGCCAGACAGTGCCGGCTGGCGACCCCAGGGGGAGAGCCTTCTCTGTGGCAGCACCTGCCCTCTGGAATGACCTGCCCCCTGAGATATGCACAATATCAGAACTCCGGACTTTTTGTCAGGCCCTGAAAACACACCTATTCCATCTAGCCGGGCTGGCTTGATCCCATCCTCTCAGTTTTAATTGAATTCGGTTTTAATTGGGTTGTTTTAAATCTTGGGCCAAATTTATTTAATTGTTTTTTAAACTGTTTTTAAATTTTATATGCAATGTTTTATCTCGGCTGTACACCGCCCTGAGTCCCGCAGGAGAAGGGCGGTATAGAAATAAAATAAAATAAAATAAATAAAATAAATAAATGATCCCCTTTTGCGACCTTCTTACAAGCAAATATCAAATGGGGAAGCCAATTCATTTAACAACCGTGTTACTGACTTAATTACCGCAGTGACTCATTTAACAACTGTGGGAAGAAAGGTCGTAAAAGGGAGCAAAATTCACAACAAGTGTTTCACTCAGCAACAGAAATGTTGCTTACAATTGCAGTCGTAAGTCGACCGTATAGTTTTGTGTCTGGTGCAAATCCAGCCAATTGTGACTTAAAACCGACCACAATGAAGCACCTGAGTTGATGCGTTCAGCAACTACTTCATGTTCCTGCTAAAGAAATCTGAGCGCTAGAAAGCTCATGCTACATTAAACGTGTTAGTCTTTGAGGTATCACAAGACTCTGCTCATTTTGCTGAGTTAACATGAGCAAACTCCCCAAGGTAAGTGCTGACTTTCATATTTTCTGCCTTAATGCATCTTTCTGCACTTGGAACTGGAAAACAATCCTGAATTAACTGGCATCAAAACACCGAACATGTGTCATATGTAGCCCAGTGGTGGGTTGGTCCCGGTTCAAGCCGGTTCGGGCGAGCCAGTAGTGGTGATGATGTGATGTCACCGAACCGGTTTTCTTTGACTGGGAGCTGGGTCCTCCCGCCTGCCCCCGCGTTAATCTTACCTTTATTTCTCGTTTTTTAGCCCAGCTGATAGGCGCGGCAGAGGGGATTGCCGCACCTCAGCTGGACAGGAACCTAATGCGCTTGCGCAGAGCAAAGCAGGTGCGCAAGGTTGTATAAGATACGATTCGGTCAATACTCTGTTCATAAAATATGTATGTGAAAGAAAAAAATCAATAAAACGTGTTTTTAAAAAAAGAAAGAAATGTTGGGCTTGGTTTTGACCAGCATTCCACCATTCTTTTCCATCTGAGTGTGCAAGTTGGCTAGAACTAACCACAATGCTGAAGTGAATTCACAATGAATTCAGAAACTTGAATAAAAGCCAATGTATTTAAGCATACTTCTCAATATCTACGGACTTGTAGACATCGATATTGGAATTGCTTTGCCCCTTCTGTGTACCCCAGTGGTGGGGCCAAGCACACCACTGCCCTGGGACAATGTCCTGAAGAGGTCATTGTAATTTGGGTCGTCTAATGAATATGGTGCCTGTTCTCCAGGAATTTCATCCTCACGAAAATGCCTTTGCCCATGAACGACATTGCTGTGGCTTACCGGAGTCATCCAGAGAAAATGGAGGAAATTGTGCACCAGGTACAAAGGGGGAAGAGATGTTGAAAGAGAAAGGGTAATCATTTAACCCAGGGAGCAGTCTTCTTCAACTTGGGAGACTCTTTTGAATGCTCAGGTTCTGCCAAAGGATTTATGTACGGTATTTATGTAATGGTGCATGTTCCAAGATGGTGGGCATAGGATACCTATTTTTTGGCTGCTTTTTTAGGTAGAAGAGAAAGGGCATATCTTATTCCTTCTGTATGTGACCTGCCTGTTTGTGTGTCTACAGATACAGTCGTACCTTGCAAGAAATCAGATTCAAGCAAACCTGCTCAAGGAGAAAGGCCAGCTCCAGCTCGACAGTCAAGCCAACTCTTCTGAACAGGTGGGAATACCTGGAACCCTCCTACCTTTCTTGCTTTGCATCTAGCTTGCCCACATGTTCTAAGGGGATGCGGTGGCTCAGTGGCTAAGGCACTGAGCTTGTCGATTGGCAGTTCAGCTGTTCGAATCCCTAGTGCCGCGTAACGGGGTGAGCTCCCGTTACTCTCGTATTGACTACTGCAATGCTCTCTACATGGGGCTGCCCCTGAAGACCACTCGGAGGCTTCAGCTGATGCAGAATGCGGCCGCGCGGGTAGTGATGGGAGTGTCCCGACACTCCCATGTTACACCTCTCCTGCACGACTTGCATTGGCTGCCGGTTGCCCTCCGGGTGAGATTCAAGGTGCTGGTGATTACCTATAAAGCCCTACATGGCCTAGGCCCAGGATATTTGCCGGACCGTCTGCAGCCAGCAACAGCTTCCCATCGCCCGGTGCGCTCCCACAGGGAGGGCCTACTCAGGGTGTCGTCGGCCAGACAGTGTTGGCTGGCGACCCCCAGGGAGAGAGCTTTTTCTGTGGGCACACCCGCCCTTTGGAATCAACTCCCTCTGTAGCTCCGGGTGGCCCCCGACCTTCGCTCTTTCCGCCGTGGGCTGAAAACTTAGCTATTTCATCTGGCCGCCTTGGACTGATGGGGGTTTTAATCTGGGTTTTATTGAATTTCTTAATTTTAACTTGGACTTTTGTTTTAATGGTTTGTCTGTTCTGTTTTAATTGTTGTGAGCCGCCTTGAGTCCTGTGGCGATAGGGCGGCATACAAGTCCCAACTAATAAATACTTGTCCCAGCTTCTGCCAACCTAGCAGTTCGAAAGCACGTAAAAATGCAAGTAGAAATATAGGGACCACCTTTGGTGGGAAGGGAACAGCGTTCCGTGCGCCTTCGGCGTTGAGTCATGCCGGCCACATGACCACGGAGATGTCTTCAGACAGCGCTGGCTCTCTTCAGCTTAGAAACAGAGATGAGCATTGCCCCCTAGAGCCAGAAACAACTAGCACACATGTGCGTAGGAACCTTTACCTTTACCTGCCCACATGTTCTAAGCAAAGGCAAAAGATGTTGCTTAAAGTCAACTCATCAAAATGCACATCGGTTGGCTGGGAATATTGAGAGTTGATGTATATAGGGACATAAAACAAATGAAGAATAGCTGCAGGATTTTGGCTATGGCTAGTCTAGAGAAAAGGAGGACTAGGAGGGACATGATAGCAGTATTCCAGTATCTGAGAGGCTGCCACAAAGAAGAGGGGGGTTGACTTATCTTCCAAAGCATCCAGAAGGCAGGACAAGAAACAATGGATGGAAACTAATCAAGGAGAGAAGCAACCTAGAAGTAAGGAGCTACCACTCATTAACAGTGAGGACAATTAACCAGTGGAACAGCTTGCCTCCAGAAGTTGTGGGTGCTTCATCACCGGAGGCTTTTAAGAAGAGACTGGACAGCCACTTGTCTGAAATGGTATAGAGTCTCCTGCTCAAGCAGGGGTTTGGACTAGAAGACCTCCAAGGTCCCTTCCAGCTCTATTCTGAAATTCAGCACCTCTACAAGATGCTGCTTGGAGAAGGCGGATCCAAAGATGATGAGCTTTTCCCAAGAGGTCCATGAAGGCTGCCAGAAATGAGAACAAAATCGTAGAACAAGTCAACTGCTTCCCAGTTGTTATCTTCCTGGACTTAGAACAACACCGTGAGGTTATTTTTATGATCCAGAGCAGATGGGGATCCCAAAGTTCAAGAACATTTCTGAGTCCACGTTTGAGGGCAGTCTCCTCAACGAAATATGTCCCCTTATTCTCAGCCTTGCAAGCCTCCACAATGGCAGCCCTCCAATTCAAACTGGGATGCTGCTGGTACAAATTAAATGTTATAATCTGCAATAAGGGGGAAGGTGCTATTTATATTTCGCCAAATGCTAGACTGTTCTGGAATCGGAAATGTGACGATGCCTCTTGGGAAATGTCTCCCCCGTATCGCACTCAAGATGGGAAATAATCAATGCTTCGTTGGGATGTGAATTTGCCCCAAAATACCAGATTCTGATGCTGACCCTGGTTGGCTTATATAGCCACCAAATCAATCGATAGGCATGCCTGCCTCACTATGAATTGAATCCAATGGGCCCATCCAGTTTACAGTATATAGTGGCAGAATTCCACCTGAATTCTGACTAGTGTTTGTAATTGAAAGTGTAAAGGTACGGAAGGTGATGGAAAGTTTGAAAACCATATTCCCCTTTTCCATCCATTTTCTCTTTAAGTCGGGACTATAGAAGGCTGGACAATTCGGCTTCACTCACATTGACTGAGAACTTGTAGAGTTCTATAAGTCTACAGGTCCCACACTAGTGGTAAACAATCATCAAAGGATCTCCTATTTTTGTTTTCAAAATCTATTAAGCAATATTTCCCCCAATGTAGCATGCTTACTCAGAGCAGCCTTTGGTTAAAATAGAATAGAATAGAATAGAATAGAATAGAATAGAATAGAATAGAATAGAATAGAATAGAATAGAATAGAATAGAATAGAATAGAATAGAGGCTAGAAATGGAATGGAATGGAATGGAATGGAATGGAATGGAATAGAATAGAATAGAATAGAATAGAATAGAATAGAATAGAATAGAATAGAATAGAATAGAGGCTAGAAATGGAATGGAATGGAATGGAATGGAATGGAATGGAATAGAATAGAATAGAATAGAATAGAATAGAATAGAATAGAATAGGAATAAGAATAAGAATAAGAATAAGAATAAGAATAAGAATAAGAATAAGAATTAAATACAATACCAATACCAATACCAAATACAATGCAATGCAATGCAACAATGCAAATGATAGTCATAGGGTACAAATAAGCAATCAAACCATACTAGGAAACAATCAATATAAATTGTAAGGATACAGCAACAAGTTATAGTCATTCAATCATAAGTAGCAGGAGATGGGTGATAGGAACGATGAGAAGATTAATAGTAATAGTAATGCAGACTTAGTGAATAGTTTGACAGTGTTGAGGGAATTATTTGTTTAGGAGAGTGATGACGTTTGGGAAAAAAAACTGTCCTTGTGTCTAGTTGTTCTGGTGTGCAGTTCTCTATAGCGGCATTGTGAGGGTAGGAGTTGAAACAATTTATGTTCAGGATACGAGGGGTCTGTAGATATTTTCACAGCCCTCTTTTTGACTCGTGCAGTATACAGGTTCTCAATTTAAGGCAGGTTGGTAGCCATTGTTTTTTCTGCAGTTCTAATTATCTTCTGAAGTCTGTGTCTGTCTTGTTGGGTTGTAGAGCCAAACCAGATAGTTATAGAGGTGCAGATGACAGACTCCATAATTCCTCTGTAGAACTGGATCAGCAGTTCTTTGGGCAGTTTGAGCTTCCTGAGTTAGCGCAGAAAGAACATTCTTTGTTGTGCTTTTTTTATGACGTTTTTGAAGTTCTGGAAGTTGAAATCCAGTACACCTGGTGGAATCAGTGTAGAAGAGGATACAATGCCTTGATAGAAGAGAAAATTTATACCTCCGGGTTGAACTGTGCGGTCCTTGCTGCTCTCTGAGCCTGGTGGTTTTCTCGCAGACATTTCTTTACCAAACTAGGTAACATCGGGCTCTGCTCGGATACTAGGTGGCTTAGATACTCAGGAGCTGGGCCTTCGGCTGATGCTGTGCAATGCCAGGTCCGTGGTCAATAAGGCCCCCCTCATTCACGATCTTATACAAGAGGGAGGAGCGGACCTGGCGGGTATTACGGAGACCTGGTTGGGCCCGGAGGGTGGCGTCCCTCTGGTTGAAATGTGCCCACCAGGCTTCAGAGCATTCCATCAGCCGAGGGCTCAGGGGAGGGGCGGGGGGGTGGCGGTTATTATTAACGAGGATCTGGGTCCGAGGGAGACCACTGTGCCTCAGATAGCCGGATGTGAGTCCCTCCTTGTGAGGTGGGGCCGTGGGGTTCAGATGGGCTTGTTGCTTACGTACCTGGCTCCCTGCCGCGTGGCAACAGCCCTACCTGAGCTACTCGACGTGATAGCCACGGTGGCAGTAGATACACCCAGGCTTTTAGTCATGGGTGATTTCAACTTGCCATCCGTCGGTGAAACGTCTGAGGTGGCTCGGGAGTTCATGGCTTCCATGACGGCCATGGACCTGACCCAGTTAGTTCATGGCCCTACTCACAGGGGAGGTCACACTCTGGATCTGATTTTTGTCTCTGGCCAGTGGTTGAGTGGTCTTGTTATAGGGGATATAGACATGGAACCCTTGTCATGGTCTGACCACTCACTCCTTCGCCTAGATCTTCGAACCGCGACCCCTCGCCGCAGGGAGGTGGATCCAATTAGATGGATCCGCCCCAGGCGCCTGATGGATCCTGATAGGTTCCAGACGGAGCTTGGGCCATTTCCTGAGGATCTAGCACATGACTCGGCCGAGGACCTGGTAGCCGCCTGGGATCGGGCGGCTGGTGGGGCCTTGGACCGAGTTGTGCCTTTGCGGCCTCTGACCCGATGCCGATCCCGTGCGGCTCCTTGGTTTACTGAGGAGCTGAGGGAAATGAAGCGCCGGAAAAGACGCCTGGAGAGCGGTTGGAGGGCCAGTCTCGCTGAATCTGATCGAACACTGGTAAGGTCGCATATTAAGGCCTACCTAGTGGCGATAGAGACGGCAAAGTCTAACTACTTTTCCGCCTCTATTGCGTCATCAGGGAATCGTCCGGCTGCCCTGTTTAGGGTGACCCGCGCCCTGCTCCATCCAGGAGTGCGGGAGGATCCCTTAGAAGGCAGGGCGGAGGATTTCGGACAATACCTGTATGACAAAATCGCCCAGATCCGGGGGGATTTGGACTCTGACTGGGTAGATCAGGGCAGGGTGACGAGGAATAGTCTTGAGAATGTTATCTGGGAGGAGTTTGATGCTGTGACTCCTGATGATGTGGACAGGATTTTGGGGAGACTTAGTGCGGCCACATGTTTACTGGACCCGTGTCCCTCCTGGTTGGTACTGGCTTCCCGGGAGGTTACACGAGGCTGGCTCCAGGGTGTTATCAACGCTTCGTTGAGTGAGGGTTACTTCCCCACCGCCTTGAAAGAGGCGGTGGTGAGGCCTCTCCTCAAGAAGCCGTCCCTGGATCCGGCAATATTGGCCAACTATCGTCCTGTCTCCAACCTTCGCTTTATGGCGAAGGTTGTTGAGAGTGTGGTCGCACGACAGTTTCCGCAATTCCTGGAGGAAACATCTTATCTAGATCCGTTCCAGTCGGGTTTCAGGTCTGGGCACAGCACAGAAACGGCATTGGTCGCGTTGGTTGATGATCTCTGGAGGGCTCGGGACAGGGGTTGTTCCTCTGTTCTGGTCCTGTTAGACCTCTCAGCGGCTTTTGATACCATCGACCATGGTATCATGCTGCACCGGCTGGAAGAGTTGGGGGTGGGAGGCACCGTGTTGCGGTGGTTCTCCTCCTTTCTCTCCGACCGGTCGCAGTTTGTGTTGGCAGGGGGGCAGAGGTCGACCTCGAGGCCTCTCATTTGTGGAGTGCCGCAGGGATCGGTCCTCTCGCCCCTTCTGTTCAACATTTATGTGAAGCCGCTGGGTGAGATCATCCGTGGCTTTGGGGTGAGATACCACCAGTACGCTGATGACACCCAGCTGTACATCTCCACCCCAGGCCACCCCAACGATGCCCTTGAAGTGATGTCCCAGTGCCTGGAGGCTGTACGGGTCTGGATGGGGAGGAACAGGCTCAAGCTCAACCCTTCCAAGACTGAGTGGCTGTGGCTCCCGGCATCCCGATATAGTCAGTTGACTCCATCACTGACTATTGGGGGCGAGTCATTGGCCCCCACAGAGAGGGCTCGCAATCTGGGAGTCCTCCTGGATATGCAGCTGTCCTTGGAGGAACATCTGACGGCTGTAACCAGGGGGACCTTTTGTCAGGTTCGCCTGATTCGCCAGTTGCGGCCCTTTCTTGATCGGGATTCCCTGTGCACAGTCACTCATGCCCTCGTCACCTCTCGCCTTGACTACTGCAACGCTCTCTACATGGGGCTCCCCTTGAGGAGCACCCGGAGGCTCCAGCTGGTCCAGAACGCAGCAGCGCGGGTAGTGACGGGAGCAGCATGGCGCTCCCATGTAACACCGCTCCTGCGCGAGCTGCACTGGCTCCCAGTTGTCTTCCGGGTGCGCTTCAAGGTGTTGGTTATCACCTTTAAAGCGCTCCATGGCATAGGGCCTAGCTATCTGCGAGACCGCCTGCTGCTACCGACGACCTCCCAGCGACCCGTGCGCTCCCACAGAGAGGGCCTCCTCGGGGTGCCATCAGCCAAACAATGCAGGCTGGTGACCCCCAGGGGGAGGGCCTTCTCTGTGGGGGCACCCACCCTCTGGAATCAGCTCCCCCCAGAGATAAGGAGAATCCAAGACCTCAGTGCCTTCCGTCGCGCCCTTAAAACCCATTTATTTAAACAAGCCGGGCTGGCTTAAGATGAAATTTTTAACTGTTTTTAAATGTTTTAAACGTTTTTAATTGGTAAATGAGTTTTAATTGGGCCAAATTTATATATCTTTTAATTGTTTTTAATATTTGTTCTGCATGTTTTTTTAATCTGGCTGTACACCGCCCTGAGTCCTTAGGGAGAAGGGCGGTATAGAAATCCAATATAAAATAAAAATAAAATAAAAATAAACATCATCAGTATCTTGAACCATAAAACTTGAATTTTATGTGGGACAATTGATTTTATGGGCAAAGGAATAAAGGTACAACATCATGTAGATTTTCACTAGAAACATGTCCTGTGTATGTCTATGCTACTCCAGTAGAAGGCTACAAGTCCTATTCCAGCAAAAGTACTCCAGGTAAAGTACTTAAAAATGTTTTTCAGGGATCAGACATCTTTCTCTTTCTAGTGCCAACCTATTGTTGCGACATTGTCTTGGAACATCTAATGATCTTGCTTTCATTGTTAGGCGGTGAAAGATGCTTGCCAGACTGTGCAGAAGTACATCGGGCTGCTGAGCTGTGTTCAGGATGTGGAAGTTAAGGCTGATCTGCTTTGGGCTGAGGAAGCCATTAAGGATGCAACCCTCTTCATGGATGTGGGTTATTTTCCCCTTCATTGTGTTCATTACTTTCCGTTTTGATGGCTTCTCTTGATTTGGATGGGAGAATAATCAGAATCAGAATCAGAATCAGAATCAGAACAGAACAGAACAGAACAGAACAGAACAGAATAACGGAATGAAGAGTAGAGTAGAATAGATCAGAACAATGGAAGGAAGAGTAGAGTACAGTAAAGTAGAGTAGAACAGAACAGAAGAGAAGAGAACAACGGAATGAAGAGTGGGGTAGAGTAGAGTAGAAGAGAAGAGAACAACGGAATGAAGAGTAGAATAGAACAGAACAGAACAACAGAATGAAGAGTGAGGTAGAGTAGAGTAGAACAGAACAGAACAACGGAATGAAGAGTAGAGTAGAATAGATCAGAACAACAGAATGAAGAGTAGAGTACAGTAAAGTAGAGTAGAACAGAACAGAACAGAACAGAACAGAACAACAGAATGAAGAGTGGGGTAGAGTAGAGTAGAACAGAAGAGAACAACGGAATGAAGAGTAGAGTAGAGTAGAGTAGAGTAGAGTAGAGTAGAGTAGAGTAGAATAGAATAGAATAGAATAGAATAGAATAGAATAGAATAGAATAGAATAGAATAGAATAGAATGAGTTGGAAGGGACCTTGGAGGTCTTCTAGTCCAACTCCCTGCTCAGGCAGGAAACCCGATACCATTTCAGACAAATGGTTGTCCAATCTCTTCTTAAAACATCTGGAGTTGAAGCATTCACAATTTCTGGAGGCTGGTTGTTCCATTGATTACCAGGTAGTTTCATTGTCCAGCCTGATTTCGCCATTACACTAAATAAAAGTGGTGTTCAGAGTTAAGTTCAGAATGAGTTGGTTATGTGAATCCAGCCATTGTGACTTGATGCTGAGCATCCGAACAATTGCATTCAGCCAACAGTGATGAAGATCTACCACACTTAGACTTTTGGGGGAACCTATTCTCAGTTTCATTGTAGATGTCATGCCAGGTGCCCTTATAACCATAAGGATTTACATGACATTCTCATATAAATGGTATGTCAATTTTGTAATTCATATCATTTGTGCAATGATGTCATAATGCACTTAACCTCACTTTCTCATCCCACTGATGGATGACAGTGTGTAGCAGAAGAGTTAAGGTTATGCTGGAATCTTCTGATATCATGAATAACTTTCCTTGAGATGGGCCTTAAAATGTTGGCTTTAAGTGCTGCCTGTTTGTTTAATTCCAGTGTTTTATTTTAAAAAAGTAAGAAGAACATTTGGTCCAATAAATATGTTCCTCCAAATTTATTGATGAACAACAACTCCTAGAATTCCTGCTCATCAGCCTGCTGGCAGTGGTAGGAGTTGTAGATCTGATCTGGAGAGTGGAAAGGTCCTCACCCTTGCTGTTCTCCTTCAGATGTTGTTGAAGTCCACCTCCTTTCACTGTTGATCACAGAGACCATGCTGGCTACTTGGGAAAACTCTACCCATCTCTTTTCCACCAGATTTTGCCCGTTTTGTACGAAGTGGGAAGGGCTTCCTACCAGAACTGCAAGCTTCAGCACAAATTGGAAAAACTAATTGAGGAAGTTTCTCGGACCTACAGCAAGGAGATTCAGGTGGGCTTTGGTGTTGTTGCGTTGAGCTGTTGATCACAAACGTCTTTTTCTCCTTGATCTTTTGGGAAACTCCTGTAGCCGCAGAGAGCCTATATCAGTGATGGCTAACCTTTTTGCCATCGCGTGCCAGGAAGGGGGTGGGGGGGGGAGGTTCGCGAGTGTGCACGTGCCCACACCCATAATTCTATGTGCCCTGCCCTGCGCATGCATGCATGTCCCTGCCCCCCGCTCCTGGCACACAATGGCCAGGTAGGCCCATTTTTCTTTCTCACCTGGTTCCAGATCCTCTCTATGCATCTGGGGAGGGCAAAAACAGCCTTCCCCAGCCCCTTGGAGGCCCGAAACAGCCTGATTCCCAACTTCCAGTTGGACACGAAGTGACATTTTTTGTTGTCCCCAGCCTCCAGAGACTACTAGAGAGGCTGAGCTGGCATGCCAGGTGACATGACTCCGTGTGCCACCTGTGGCACGCGTGCCATAGGTTCGCCATCACGGGCCTATATTGAACTAGATGGAGAGACTTTCTGCTTTAGAAGAAGACAACTTCCTTTCTATGGTCTTCATCTAACATTTGTACTGCAAAAGCCTAGCATTTGATGTTGGCCTGGAACTTAGTGTCCTGGTAACCTTGCTTTAATTGCTTTTTTTAAATGAACAATATCTACTCCATATGATAGAACAATATGTCCAAGAACATGTCGCTTAGCTTTTGCCATTCTGATGCCATCTGGCTATGTGGAAATGGAAATACCAAAACTGTCCACTCGGTCCATTTGAAAAGTTTCAGGTGAAGAAGGATTATTTTGGCCATATCTTTGAGAATTCACAAACATGTCCCTCTCTCTGACTATGAAAAGCTGAAGATAAAGGAAATTTTTGTAGCTCAGAGTTGAATACGGGGTCTCCTTGGTACTCTCTGAGCTGATTGTTTTGTTGCACACATTTCATTACTCAAAGTAGGTAATTGGGAGCAAACCCCACACCTTACTAGCACTGATGATGTTACATACAGCAGTGGCCAAAAATGTGGGAACCCTTTGGGAAAAGTGTATTTTCTAAAACTAGCTAATAACACCACTTTTTAGGGGTGGGGGTAGTACTATAAAATTATATACCAATGGAAAGATAATTTAATCAAGAATGTAGTGCAATAACGTTTATGAAGGATTTGTTATTAGAATAGCAGTTATAAAGAAGAAAAGTGAAATGAGATATACAAAAATTATCATCATGTCAGTTAATACTTCATTGGGTAACCTTTAGCATGAATTATGGCCTTACAACGTCTTCCCATGGAGTGAACCAAGTCTTTTCATTCTGCAGCTGTTACAATGTGAAACCAAGATCGAATGATTGCTTCTATTAACTGGGTTTTATTGCTGGGTCGCTTCTGACTAACAAGTTTCTTTAGTCGGCTCCATAGATTTTCAATTGGATTAAGGTCTGGGCTATTCCCAGGCCATTCCAGCAGTGGAATAGGATTATCTTGAAACTCCCAAAAAAGAGGTGTTATTAGCCATCAAACCTTTGCTCAAACATCTCCTTGGTGTGTAACCTTGTGTCAATTAGCCATGGAAATGTAGGATACACCCAAAGGACAGGATCACCTCCGCTACTTGCCCCACTGACTACTACTTACAGTGTCTTCTAATTACCATTGTGCCAAAATATTACTAATGAAGATTGGCTTTTAACAATGACCAGGGAATGCCATGAAGATGCTGGAAGCTACTAGTGAGGAAAGATTGAATCAATTTACCCCAATTCCCAGAAGTGATACTCACTGAGCTTTCCTTACAGGCGGTTGTACAATCCCAGCTGGATGCTACGCAGAGTTTGCACCCTCAAATCTTGCAGAGAACAGATTTCTTGAAGCAATTATTCTGCGATGCATCAGAGACAACCTTCCTGGACCAGTTGCTGACTGAGGTGTATGACAAGGTCATGTAAGTAGCAGGCTTAATCCACCCCCTTCAAGCCTCATCAGAAGGGTGGAAAGTAGCCACATGTGTACTTACATATATGTGCATTCATATATACGATGGAGGCCATGCTGCTCTTTCACACGCCACTAACCACTATCAAACCACGTTGCACACCTCTTCTAGCTTTGGTACAAGCTCTCACTGGGTTTCTCTTCTCTCTGGTCTCTCTAGTCACTCTGGCCTTCTCTCTGGACTGGGCCCATAACCTGTCAGAGTGTTTACAACTCTGTTTATAACTACTATTTTGAGACAACCCAGGAGCAAAATACAGAACACAGAAGTTTTGTCATTACAAACAGTGGTTTATATACAAGACTTCTATATACAGACATACATGTGGTAGGCACATACCAGGCAAGCAATCAATCTTCAACTCTACACAGAGAGCTACAATGCAGATAGAACACGACGAGGAGAGAGATACACGAGGAGAGAGAGAGACGCTTTCTCATGGCCTCCCTTATATAGACAGTTTCTTAAAGTGGCAATAACCCTGCTGACTCATCCTCAGTCTTAAAGCGGCTGGTCAGCTTTAAATCTTCATTCCCCTGACAACATCCTTGCGGGTTTTGCCTGTAAACTGTTTTCTCCTTCAGATTTCAGCATGCCTGGCGGCCCAATGTGATTGGGTTGAAGAAGCAAGAGGTCCTTACCTTCTCTTACTATCTGATCTGTCCCCGTACCCACACACACACAAACACAGCCAGCCGAGGGTTAAGGAAACACTTTGGAACGCACCTAGGTCTTATCTCCCACTTGGCAGCGATAGACACACCGTCTGCCAAATGCCTTTATTTTCACAAACAGAAAGATAAGGTACTTAACGTGCAAAAAGTCCAAGCAGAAATAATATTTCTCTCCGCAGTTCCGAACGAGGCTTTAGTGACTATCCAAGGTTTACTTTTGTTCGTCACAAGGATCACTGACCACTACCCTCTATTATATAGTCTCTGGGGTATGGTCCAGTGACTCAGTTCTAATTCCTAGCACGCCTCCTAAACTGCTGCAAACGTTTATCACGCCTTTGGAGGCGTGCGTCCAGGAATGATGTTTCTTCGTCACTCTGATCTGAGCCAGCTGTCTCCCTACTGATCTCCTCTCCCTCGGCCGGCACCTGAGACAATGCCAGAGGGGAGGGGCCTGGAGAGGGAGGCCTGGCTGACTCCTCTTCCTCATGCTCGGAGCTTTCTTCCTCCGATGGGACAGGCTCAGAGGGCGGGGCCACAACACTATCTACCCCACACCTATATGGGTACTTGCTCAAGGAGTTTTGAGCAATCCTCTCTCTTGGCCTACTCAGCTTCCATATTTCATTCTTCCTGGCCCACCAAATCTTCTTGTGCTTGATAGGAAGATCCAACTATCAATTACGGAGGCCATGACCGGTATTATCACTGAGAAGACATTGGAAGAGTTAACCACCATTCAAGACAGGCTGGTGAGTAGATTGGCCAACTTGCAAAGGCATTAATGGTCCCATAGGAGTTTTGTATACAGGTAGTCCTTGACGTACGACTGCAATTGAGGCTAAAAATTTCTGCGGCTCAGTGAGACATTTGTTAAGTGAGTTTTGCCCCATTTTGTGACCTTTCTTGCCACAGCTGTTCAGTCAATCCCTGCAACTGTTAAGTTGGTAACACCGTTGTTAAATGAATCTGGCTTCCCCATTGACTTTGCTTGTCAGAAAAGGGGATCACATGACCCTCGGACACTGCAACCGTCATAAATACGAGTCAGTTGCCAAGCATCCAAATGTTGATCACGTGTCCATAGGGATGCTGCAACGGTCATAAGTTTAAAAAGGGCCATAAGTCACTTTTTTCAATGATTTTCTAACTTGGTCACTAAATGAACTGTTGTAAATTGTACTGCTGTTTCCTTCCACCCTTCCACTCTGTCAGTAGATTTGAACCCCACACTAAACTAGGAAGAACAATCTTTTGCTTCTGAGCAAACTATTTGTAAGATAGTATGTATTTCTTTTGTATACTGTAACCCCAAATTTCCACCCTATGTGATCAAGGCAGCTGACAATATAAGAGTCCTCAGGCAATATTATGCCAAGAAGAAGTAATTTATGCACTCTTAAATTCAGTTCCCGCAAAAGAAAAGTCTGTTTTATAACTCCTTCTTGGGATGAATCATTTCTTTTGATAACATGTTTGATCTTGTTTTGACACAATTGGCCTAGGCTGTGGATTGGTTTGGTTTAGTTTCTAAGACTTTGTCACTTGTTCCTAATCTGAAAAGGGCCAATGGGATGTTTTCCATTGAGGTATAGTCAGAATTTCTTCTGAATTAAAAAAAAAAAAAAAAAGTAGAAGAGGACACTTTTCTATGAATAAGAAGAAATGTTTGGCACAGCGCAAAACAGAAATGGACAAAGCAAAAGCGACGTCAGCCAGTCCAAAATAAAATGATGTGCGGTGTCATTGAAAAACAACAGATATAAAATCTTGATGAAGTATTCTAACCGCTGCTTTGAACAATGGCTCACTTCAGCCCCAGCTGAACTCTTCCAAGTGATTGAGATTCTTGCTGAAATATAATTTCCACCAGCCGCAGCCAGCATGGTCAATATTTAGGATGCTGGGAGCTTGAACAAAGCAACTGCTGGAAAACCTTAGCGGGTGACAGCCTCAAGTTGACCTTGATTGATCTTAAAATTTAAGCATGACAGCTCCTCATCCTTACTGGGGTGGGGGACTCCTTGGCAATCCAAGAGCTGTTGGCTGAAAAGCCAAAACAAATCGTAGAGGAAGGCAATGTTGCCACGTGGTCACTAAGAGTTGGAAATGATTTGATGGCACCTGTCAAGCCCGCCACTACTTAAACCTCTAAGTAAAAACACCCCTTGGCTCCATTCGTTGGGAAAGAAAAAAAATTATTAGAAGTCAAATATATTGCCGTCAAACATAGGCAGATCTGAGAACTGCACACCAAAAGCTACCTCCCCTCGCTGACATACACACACCCCAATGACCAATCAGGTTCAAACAAGATGTTTTCAGAATGGTCACTTCCAGAGTAGGTTGGTATGCCACTGCCTTCTTCTTCCAGAGGGGTGACCTTGAAGCAGCATCTCAGGGAGATACAGCAACATACAGATACATCCCCCTGGGGTGCACCCGGAGGCTCCAGCTGGTCCAGAACGCGGCCGCGCGGGGGATTATGGGGGCGACGAGGCGCTCCCATGTGACACCTCTCCTGCGCGAGCTGCACTGGCTCTTCCGGGTGCGCTTCAAGGTGTTGGTGACCACCTTTAAAGTGCTCCATGGCTTAGGGCTGGGGTATTTACGAGACCACCTTCTGCCACCAATAGCCTCCCACCGGCCAGTACGCTCGCACAGAGTGGGCCTCCTCAGGATGCCGTCCGCCAGACAATGTCGGCTGGCGACCCCCAGGGGGAGAGCCTTCTCTGTGGCGGCGCCCACCCTCTGGAACAACCTCCCCCCAGAGATACGTACAATAACAGACCTCCGGATTTTTCGTCGGGCCCTGAAAACCTATTTATTTCAACTAGCTGGGCTGCCTTGAGTTAAATTTTAAATTGATTTTAAATTGGATTGTTTTAATTTACGGCCAAAATATTTAATTATTTTAAACTGTTTTTTAAATTTTGTATGTTCTGTTTTTTACTTTGGCTGTTCACCGCCCTGAGTCCTATTTGGAGAAGGGCGGTATAGAAATGGAAACAAATAAATAAATAAAATAAATAAACAATTACTTTCGTTTCCCTCCAAGCATCCCTGCTCCCATCCATCCTCCTCAGAGTTCATGGCAGACTGTCATCAAATTGTAGCGAAGCAAGCGTGACAGCTGACAGCACATACTTCACGTGCTAATCTCTCCTTAGCCTTTCCTCTCCGTAGGACCTCCAGGTAACCAGGAGGGATCCTACTTGCCTTCTAAGCCTTGACGAGTTCAGCCAGATGTTTCTGCATGCTAACATCTGCCTTACTCCCTTCACATTAACCAGACCTTCCCCTCTCTTAAAAATTTATTCTTATTTATCCCTTTCAGCCTTGGCTTTTCTCATGCCTTTCTTGGTTCTGTACTTAGCTTGCATCTGCTCAGCATAATGGAGATTTAAAATACTGTTTCTTCTATCCATAGGTGGCTGCCCAATGGAGACACACTTGCTCTCTGAGTCTTCTGCCAACACCTAGTTTAAATGGTAAGACTTGTTCTATTTGAGTGGAGTGGGAAACCTAGACCTTGACCTCGCATTCAGCTCTGTCCATTATTTTCCATGCTGGAGTTGCCAAAAATCAATGGCACATCTTTAATGGAAAAGGGTGCTTTAAAAAACAAGCTTGCAAAAATTTCCTGCAAAAAAAGGAACATGAGCAATATCCTGGGAACAACATAATCCCATCAACTCTATATGGTTGTCCTGCCATCTCTCGCTCTTAACTGCTCAAAAGAAATTCTGACCACCAGCCACCAAAATACTGTTGTATTTGTTAGGGAGTTATTTCAGCAAACCTGAAACATACAAATTGGACAAAACCCATAAACTCTGAAAACCAAAGAAAATTAATCATGCTGATTTAAATTCATGGGATCTAAATAATAACCACACTATAAAAAATAGGTTGAGACTCTAGAAAGAGTGCAGAGAAGAGCAACCAAGAGGATTAGGGGACTGGAGGCCAAAATATATGAAGGACAGTTGCACGAACTGGGCATGGTTAGTCTAGTGTAGAGAAGGACCAGGGGAGACATGATAGCAGTGTTCCAATATCTCAGGGGCTGCCACAGAAAGGAAGGGGCCAAGCTATTTTTCAAAGCACCTGAAGGCCAGACAAGGAATAATGGATGGAAACTTGAGTCTTGAGTCTTCGGAGAAAGGCGGCATACAAGTTGAACAAATAAATAAACTGAACAAGGAGAGATTCAACCTGGAAATAAGGAGAAATTTCTCTGACAGTGAGAAGCATCCATCAATGGAACAGAAGTTGCCCTCAGAAGTTGTGGGAGCTTCATCACTGGAAGCTTTCAAGAAGAGACTGGACTGCCATTTGTCAGAAATGGTGTAGGGTCTCCTACTTGGGCGAGGAGGTCAAGGTCCCTTCCAACTCTGTTTAATCTAATCTAATCTAATCTAATCTAATCTAATCTAATCTAATCTAACCAGATTGATTCTTTTGACCTCAGTAGGACTTAAGCACAATCATTTTTTCCCCCCTGGCTTTGGGACAAAGTGGTTTAGGATCCATACTCAAAGTGGTTTAGGTGCATGTTCCGGAGAGAGAGAAGTTCTCTGTTGATGGCCTCCAGCACAACCCTGGAAGCTTGGAAATATAAACCCTTTTGGTCCTGGGTGACCGACCCAGATGGCATCCTGCAACATTATCCTAGGACGTGTATATTTTCTTTCATTCACAAAATGGTTTAATTTCTGGACCCATCTGAAGATGCGCTTCAATATTGCTTGGCCTGCGTGGAAGTCTACTTCTCAACTCTTATCTCTCTGACTCTGCGTGAAGCGGAGAACCCAGGCTGGTCCCTTCCTCATCAAGGGTCAAGGGAAGAGCTGCCTTTAGAGAATGCCAACCCCTTTTCTCTAGTTTATTTCCCAAGAGGGATCTTGGCAAGAGAGAGATGAGAAAAGGAGGAAACAGCCATCGATTTGTCTCTCTTGTGCATGTCTACATGTTCTAAGAGCTGAATCCTTCTGGCTTGGACCTCAGAGACTTGAGTTTCTCTCTGGACTTGCTTCTTCCTCCTTACTGGGGCAAGTCAAGCTTCTCCTGTCCATTCCCTTCCTCCAGAGCCTGGTGGCTAAACACGCCTTGTCAGTTTAGTCGCCTGCTCTGTAACAAGCCTTCAGGTGACAAGAGATGTTGCTGTGCGGCAGAGAGGGGCAGTCTGCTGTCTGCCTGGCAACTCTCCACCAACCCCCCCTCTTCACCTCTTTTTTCCTCCCCCTCCCTCCCTCCCTCCCTCCTTCCCTGCCTGCCTGCCTGTCTGCCTCCCCTTCCTCTTCCCTCTTCCAGGTCTGTCAGAACTGGCACTGAAGGTAGGAGCCGAAGATAACAAGATTGGGAGTCCCCAGCCTGAGCTGTCACTCAGCCGTGCCTCCGCGAAGTCACGCCCTGCTTCCACAAAGGATGCTGAGCCTGGGAGCGGGCTGCTGCTGCCGCTGCCGCCTTGCACAGAGCCTGCATCCGCAGCATCCCTTATGGACCTGCCGACTGCGGGGGAGAAATTGGAGCATTACACCCGAGACAGGCCCAGGCCGAACCGAAGGAACAGGCAACCTCCCAGCAAGTCGAATGTAAGAGCTTTCCTATCCGGGGGGGGGGGGGGGGGGCTGGGGGGGGGGGGGGGGGGTTTGTCGGGGGGGGGGAAGGGGGGCGGTGTTTTATTTTGCGTGTGGGGGGGTGCGTGCTCTCCGGCGGGTGAGGTGAGCAAATCATCGGCCAGGTGCTTATTGCAGCAGGCACAGTGGCAACCCTGGAAAAGGAGAAGGAACCGGGGCAGCAGATCTTCGATTATGCGCCTGTTCAGCTGGGCCACTGGTCATCTCTGCGCAGAGGACAAGCGAGTTAATATCGGAAGGAGGCAGGGTAGCTGGCATCTTGGCTACTTGTGTTTATTTACTAGGGATGGGGAATCGTGGCGGATTCCTAATCTGCAACAACTGCAGGCATTGGGAAGGAGGAGGGGGGGGGGCGAGTATCCCAGCCCATTGACATGCATGTACTGACTTCCTTGTCGTGTGTTTATGAAAATCCTGCTCCCATTTATGGAAGAACGAGCCTCTCATTTGCTTGTGTTCTTCCTGGAAAGCTGCTTCCTGCGTTATCGTACATGATCTATCTTAACTGCGCTCTGCCTGATGATTGTTCTTATTTATTTATTTTTTAAAATAATAATAATAATAATAATAATAATAATAATAATAATAATAAAAAAAAAAAAAACGGTGTGCTGCTATTTATATCCGCTTTATCTGTGATCTGGGGAAGGTCAGGTCTTCCCTGTTCAAAACCTTTGGGGCCAGTGGGCTGGATTTGGTTTCTCAGGTGAAGGGAGATGAGATCAGCATCTGATCTGGGTGTCCTTTTGTCAGAAAAGGGACCCGTTGATGGAAAATAAAGCCCTTGCTTGGGGTGGGGAAATAAGTTCTTGGTGCAGGCAAACCGTAGAACTGAGAGGTAGGGTGGAAAATCCAATGTTTACATAGGATGTGATGGAGTGTATACAGGAGAGAAATAAAACATGTAATATGGACTCTGATGTCTCCAGTAATAAAATCTCTCCAGAGTAAATAAGGTGGGACTTGATATGGCATCATCATTATTATTGTTGTTGTTGTTGCTAATTAGACACTGTGGCCTTGAAGGCTCTAAACCTTTCCTGATCATGTCGTTTAATAAAATCTCAATCCAGTTGCAAAGTGACCAGCGCTAGGGAGAAGGAAGGGGAGGCAGAAGGAAAGAGCTTATTAATTATCCAATTAGGGCATAATTATTGATTACCACTAGGAATCTGCAGAATATGAGTTGAACTTTGGAGCTCAGGCGCTGAGGATCATCCTGGATTCGAAGGGGCATCCATTAAAAAAAATAAAAAATGACTGTGGGAAATGAAGGCGGAAGACACCAAAATGCATGGTTTATTTTTCCTTTTTCCTCTACAATGGATACCTCTCCCCTGGCATCAATATCTCAAGGCCTCTTGTAAGATCCATCCCAGAAGGTGAGCAGAAAGGGGTGTATTACAAATCCTAGGCTCATTTTTCTTCCAGTGCTCCAGTTTTTCAGCTCTTTTCAGAGTAACACTTTTTTTTAAAACTCCATTAAGATGCAAATGCGTTGAAATATTCAACAACCTACCGCACTCCTGAAATACAAGAAAATTAGCATCCAGAGCTCCGTAAGGCTCTTTTAAATACCCCAAAGGATACCTTCAAAATATAAGCAATAATGCTGAGGATGAGTGTTGTTATTTTTGCGCTAGGATTTTTTTTGTTAACCTTCTTTATGCTTCTGATTTGCATTTTTCAGGTTAGCTTTTATCTCAGTGGGCCTATGACTGGGTGGGCATATAAATCCAGTTAATTACTTAATTAATAACATGATATTTGCAATCCCACCCACACTTATGAGGGTGGGAGTAAGCAACCCTTACCAAATCATCTTACCAAGGATTTATAGCAGAATGTCTGAACTATTTCTAATATAGTAGGAAGCAAAATAGAAACAGTATGTTAAAGCATGTTGTTATGACTTAGCGTGTTGTTTTACTTTAAAATTTCACTGCCTCCCCAACATATATTACTCCAAATTTAACAACAATGCCCACTAAATGACAGACAACTTCAATAGCATCTTTTTAGTCGGTATCCCTAATATTGCAAGGTCTCTGATTTAAAGAAAAAAAGAATCCCTTCTGCAATTTTTTTTTAAAAAAAGACTCGTCTGTATTAGGTTATCTGCTTGATATTGGTTGACCTTAATTATGTCTAAGCAATCATGCAACTACCTTGGATCTGCTGTGTAGATGTCATATCTAGTCATGTCTCAAGAGTTTCATCCCAACTGTTGACAAACTCCAGTATAAGCAACTTCTGATTTTTTTGGAGAATGGACTTGGGTGGGATGTAGTCCTTGTGTTTGGACTGCATATGTGTGCAAAATGCACTTGCCGTATTATTTTCCACCTGGTTTCAATTAAGCAAAGCGATGATCAGCTTTCAGATTTCAGGATCTACTCAGCTGTTCACCAGAACTCCAAGATTCCCCAATTAAAATCCCATGTCCACTAACCGGAACTCAAGATGCTGGTTTAACGTTATCTCCCATCTGTGTTTGGCATTGGATAGACGTACAGTATATGTATACAAATAAGTGAAGACACGCTTATACTTGGCAAATTATTCTGCGCCATTCGACAGACTCTGAAAGCTGGCGTCCAGCAAAAGTTGCTTTCAGTTCAAGTTCACTGCTCAGCCAATACAGGAATATATGAATGTTGGGGTAATCTCCACCGTTGTTAATAGAGCATTTGTAGCATTGCCACAGGTTCAGATCAATGTTTAATATTATAATCTGAACCTGTTTGGTGTATCGTTGCTTACAACTTATCCTTTTAACGTACTGTATGGAGTTTGCAAGCAGCTTCTTAGCAACACAGTTGTTTAAGGGTGGGCTGCATTCTTGTAGAGTAAGCGTTTTATAGGAAGGAGCGATAATTCGTTGTTGAGTGCGTCCTTCTCATTTAGCAAGTTCTAATTCCATTCTTGTTATTTTTAGATGGACGGGAATATCAGCCTGGTTGGATCTAACTTAATGGAAGGCAGCTTGTTGATAGTCTCTCTTAGGGTGACTAAATTCTATTGTGGATGGTTTCTTTGTCAAATTATATTATGCATGATAAATTGATAGTCATCCATTAGCCAAAGTAGCCAAAGCAGGTATAGAGAAGTTCCAGGTTTCAGTTGTAAGAACTGGTCAATGATATTCCCAAGGGCAACACTGGTTATCCATCTTTCGTTGGCCCAGATGATTCCTCTTTGGTCATATACTCATGAATATCTACTAAGAGGAGACGCAAGGATAGTGTCTAAGGTTATCAAAGGAGGCAAGAAAGAGAGGTCTACAATAAAATCGGATCCTGTAGTTCCCTATAATGTTCCCTGAATCAACATTAAATGAGTCTGATGCATCCATAGAACTTTGTTTGTGCAAATTATCTATGCTAAAAGTGGGAATCACTCGGAGGCTGTTGCACTTTGCAAACCTGATTTATTGTAGTTTGGTGAGCACTCCTGATCTCATAACTTGGCTTCTACATCAGAAAACCAGTGGAACAAAGGAAAGGAACGACTGAGTCATGTCTAATAATTAATAGGAGTTGAGGCAGAGGGGAAAAAATTGTGTACCTCATCCCATTTTATTAAGGGAACCAATGCACAAGCAACCACCAATCATGATCGTTTCTTCTGAGAAGTAACATTTCAAGATGCATGCTGGTTTAAGGCTTGGGGACCAAACTTATTATTCATTTGTCTTTTTGTATCCATTGGAATGGACTAAAGTGGAGGAAGAATTTAATTATTTAACGGGAGTCACCCGTATTGTAATGAAACAATTGAAGAAATTATCTCAATCAGTCATTCATGGTGACCCATTAGAAATGAAATATAAACTTTCCAGCAAAACAAGTATCTTGTAGGTCACTAAACACAATAGGTAGGTGGACATATCTGAATGCTGAAGTGTCCACATTTCTGTCCAAATATGTTCACTTTCCTTTATCACTGTACCTACCTACATGTAGTTGATGAACCTAAGAGCCTTTTCATGTGGTTTCATTTGTGCGTGTGTGTGTGTGGATAGATAGATAGATAGATAGATAGATAGATAGATAGATAGATAGGCAGGCAGAGAGAGAGAGAGAGAGAGAGAGAGAGAGAGAGAGAGAGAGAGAGAGAGAACCAATTCTGCAGACCCCTCCTCCAGCCCCTCCCAGCAGCCCTTGCATTTCCTACCCCTCCAACTCCCCCAAACTTGCTCTTCTTTGCAGGAGCGATGTGAAGGAGTGTAAGAAGGCCAGTTGGAGACTAAATGTGCTCCTGCAGTGGCTGAATCAGATGGTTTAAGGCGAGGAAGTCATGGAAATCCGGTGTGTGTGTGTGTGTTTTTCCCATTTTTACATGGCAGCTGCCCAAAGACCAGGGACAGTTTTGCAACATTCTCCCTCTCACCTCCCACCAGGCTGAATATATGAGAAGTTAAGGAACCTCCACGAGAATACAACTGTGGCCCACAATTATTAAGAAAACCACATGGTTGCTCCGCTAGCATGAGCTCGACTTGATGGGCATTTTTATCCTTATCTCCCCCCTTCCCCAACGGAAGTGTTTGAAAGCCATCTTTGGTGTTAATCCTGGTTTCTCAAGATCAAGCAGGAACCACACAAAACTCCTTGTCATCATTTCCTTCTCCTTTACTCATGAACATGGGGACTCTCTGATTTGAAACAAGTTTACTCTGAAGTAAGGCTTCCAGAGGGACTTTCCTCATCCCCAACAATCCCTAGGTCAGATGAAGAAGCCCACTTGTATCTAAAGTAATGGCCAAAATTGTAGAAACCTTTTGGTAAAAGTGTATTTTCTAAAACGAGCTAATAACACCACTTTTTTTGGAGTAGTACCATAAAATTATATATCAACAGAAATATAATTTAATCACAAATGTAATGCAATAACTTTTATGAAGGGGCTTCTATTAGAATAGCAGTTACAGTATAAAGAAGAAAAGTGAAAGACATAGATATAGATATAGATATAGATATAGATATATATATAGATATAGATATAGATATAGATATGTAGGTCTTTGGTTATTCGGGTTTTCTCCCGCGTAAAATTGGAAGTACCTTGGCAACGTTTCGACGAAGTCTCATTCGTCATCTTCAGGCTGGTGTCTTCGGCCTTGTGCTTCTAGGAGTGAAACCAAGATTGAAGGATTGCTTCTATTAACTGGGTTTTATTGCTGGGTCGCTACTGACTAACAAGTTTCTTTAGTCGGCTCCATAGATTTTCAATTGGGTTAAGGTCTGGGCTATTCCCAGGCCATTCCAGCAGTGGAATATGATTATCTTGAAACGCCAAAAAGGAGCACAAGGCCGAAGATATCAGCCTGAAGATGACGAATGAGACTTTGTCGCCAAGGTACTTCCAATTTTATGTGGGAGAAAACCCGAATAACCAAAGACCTACATACAAATACCCGCGAAAACCTCAGAAAACATACACACACACACACATACACTGCATAGTGGAAAATTATACATACATAGATACATATACATACATACATACATACATACATACATACATACATACATACATACATACATTATAATATATATATATATATATATATATATATATATATTATATATATAATGTTAAGTTTTCAAAAATCAAGCTGAGAGGCCATTTACTCGAAAGCTTTATTCAAGAAAAAAACGACCCAACATAGGTCTTATGCAGACAAACCAAGGTTAACCCTGACTCACTAACCCCTTTTGCCTTGAAGTTTGGATGTTAAAAACCCTGCAGGCAGCTCTGGAAGATCAGGGAGGCAAATTCTCTCCCCTTTCTCTTAACTCAAGAGAAGCCGAATCGCTGAGCAGAGAGAAAAGTCCATAATTAACACATCACCAGACAATGGAGGGATGGCCACCAACTGAGAGAGCCTTAAAGGAGGATTAGACAAATTCATTGAGGTTATTCATGGCTGCCTGCTAGCTATTGCTCCCTTCCGTCATATCTAAGACGCCATTCTCCCAATTTTACTGTCAAGGGAATATAAAACAGATGTTAAAAGAATAAGCTCCAAATTCCCAGATCATGTTTGGGGGCGATAAATGGCTCGAGGCTACTTGGGTGGAAAGATCAGTGGGAGAGGAGACCTTGTTGTCCAGTAGGGGAACAGAATAGAGGCCACGGTGTTCAAAGGAGGAATGATGTCATATGCACCCTGAAATCACCACACAAATGACTTCATGGCACAATGACATCGAAAGTGGCTTCTAACGGACAACTGTGCATGAGGCTAAATGGACCTTATTCCAGATCTAGTGCAGTTTATCTTGCCGCATACACACTTCATAAATTGTTTCAACTCCTACCCTCAAAAAGACGCTACAGAGCACTGCACACCAGAACAACTAGACACAAGAACAGTTTTTTCCCGAACGCCATCACTCTGCTAAACAAATAATTCCCTCAACACTGTCAAACTATTTACTAAGTCTGCACTACTATTAATCGTCTCATCGTTCCTATCGCCCATCTTCTCCTACTAATGACTGCATGACTGTAACTTTGTTGCTTGTATCCTTACGATTTATATTTGTACACCGCCCTGAGTCCTTCGGAAGAAGGGCGGTATAGAAATAAAATTATACTTATACTTATATTGTTTCCTAGTATGATTCGATTGCTTATTTGTTCCCTATGACTATCATTAAGTGTTGTACCTTATGATTCTTGATGAATGTATCTTTTCTTTTTATGTATACTGAGCGCATATGCACCAAAGACAAATTCCTTGTTTGTCCAATCACACTTGGCCAATAAAGAATTCTATTCTGTTCTATTCATTTTTCCATTTTCGGGATAAAAGTTGAATCCAGCAAAATTAAAATGAATTATCTTCTATTAGAATGTTTACTTCTTTTTTTTTTAACACAAAATGCTTTCAAACCAACATCAAAATAAAACTGGTTCAAGGAGGCACCAGTTGGTTCTCATTTAATAAAAAGACATGAAGCTTAGAGGTAAATCTTTCTTAGTGGTATTCTCTAAGGATCCCTCACCCCCAGTACTCTGGTTGTTTGAGGGCATGCTAAAGTTCCTTCAGCCCAAGAGGTGAAATCAGGATCCAGAAGCATAGATTCTCCACAGTTCTAAGGAATCATATCACATAAGATCCAAAGGACCACATGCTCATTAGCTGTCAGGATTTAGAATAACAGAGTTGGAAGGGACTTTGGAGGTCTTCTAGTCCAACCCCCTGCTTAGGCAGGAAACCCTACACCACTTCAGACAAATGGTTATCCAACCTCTTCTTAAAAATTTCCAGTGTTGGAGCATTCACAACTTCTGGAGGCAAGTTGTTCCACTGATTAATTGTTCTAACTGTCAGGAAATTTCTCCTTAGTTCTAAGTTGCTTCTCTCCTTGATTAGTTTCCACCCGTTGCTTCTTGTTCTACCCTCTTTCCTTGTCTCTTCTGGAGACTTTGCATATTTATCGCAAACTTTTCCACCTAGGGGGAAAAACTCCGGGCGATTTCTCTTCTCTCCCGGTACAGGCTGCAGCTGCAGCAGCAGCGCGGAAATCCCTCCAGATCGCAGCAAATAATCCCCCCAATAATCTGGCCGCCGAGGGACCCGCTCGCGGGGGAAGCGGGAGGGGAGAGGCGGGGATATTAAAACCATCAGCCGGGCTACCTCCACCCGTTAGGCCGGGCTGAAGAGCCCCGGCGCATCCCTCCCTCCCTCCCAGGCAAAGAGATCGCAGGTTCGAGACCCAGGGGCCGCTTGGCAGGAGGAAGAGGCGGCTGCTCCCCGGTGCACCTGCTGCGCGCGGGGCCCGATCACCCTAGCCCGACCTCCTCCAACATTCCGCCGCTGCGTCTGCCTGGGCCCGGCGGCTGTGGCTTTGCAAGCTGGCGGGGGTGGGAAATTGCCGCAGCCTCCCTCGGAGCGGCTTCTCCTCCGCCGAGCCGCCTGCGCTCTTTTGCAAGAGCCGCCCTCACCTTGCTTTTGACCTCGATGACCGGCTCCGAGCTGCGCGCCGGTGTGCGGTGGTGCTTAGCCATGCTGAGCCGGCCGGGCCGGGTTGCCTCGACCGCCCCCGAAGGTGTCTCGCCTCCGCCTCCGCCGGCTATTATTGCTGCTGCTGCTCCGCCGCCGCCGCCGCCGAACGGGGACAGCCAGCAGGAGGGGAGGGGAAGGGAGAGAGGGGGGGGGAGGAAGAAGACAGGAGGGAGGGAGGGGAGGAGAAAAAAATAAAAAAATAAACCTCACCGATTATGACGTCACCCAAGCAGTCGGAGAAGGGCCTGGCCATTGGCTCAGGCGGGGCCGAAGTGGGCGGGTTCAGAACCTCCGCGGCGTTCGGATGGAACGTTGCTGACAACGTCGTCTAGGTAACCGGGCTCCGCGGGGGGTCCAAGGTGTATCCCCGCGCGGCGTGAGATCAAAGGGAGTTTTTTAAGGCGTTCAAGCGTCGGTCAAGGCTCGCTTGGCTTCTTCGCCGGGCAGGAAGGAAAGTGGAGAGAGGTATTTGGGGGGCGGGGGAGGGAGGGAGGGAGGCAGGGAAACTTAGCGCATTGTAAGCCGCCCTGAGTCTCCGGAGAAGGGCGGCATATAAATCAAATTTAAAAAAAAACAAAAAAAAAAAACTTACCTGGCTAGATTAGGTGGCTCAGTGGTTTAAGGCTTCTCGATCAGAAAGGTCGGCGGTTCGGCGGTTCGAATCCCTAGTATAGGGTCTCCTACGTGAGCATGGGGTTGGACTAGATGACCTCCAAGGTCCCTTCCAACTTCTGTTACTGTTAACCTGAGCCCTTCGGAGTCACCGCCGTGCTAAGAAGGAGGCGATTAAACCCTCTTCCCTTTGTGTTCTCTGTAAACCCGGCTTGCTCGTTTTTTCGGAAGCCTCCGTGAGGCTGCCGAGGAAAAGAAAACCAAAGCGAGCATCCTCCGTCGGGGATCCAGGCTTGAACCCCTCGTCTTCTTCTGTCCAAGTAGAGATGTGGTCAAGAAAGGGCCACAGAGCCTTGGTAGTACAGTGGTCTAAAGCACCCTGTTATTAAGACCAGCTGCCTGCAGTTACTGCAGATTCGAATCTCGCCAGGCTCAAGGTTGACTCAGCCTTCCATCCTTTCTAAGGTAGGTAAATTGAGGACCCAGTTTGTGGGGGCAATAAGCTGACTTTGTATAAAACATACAAAAGTATGAAGGCTATTGCTTAACGCATTGTAAGCCGCCCTGAGTCTCCGGAGAAGGGCGGCATATAAATCAATTTTTTTAAAAAAAGGGGGTGCAAACGGGGCTGGGGGTGCCTTTTAGGGGGCGCATCAGATGATGAGTGGCCCCTTGGAGTAATTGATTGGGTGCAGAGAAACCTTCCTCTCCCCAAACCACACACCGAGGCTAAGGGCCCACAACAAGAGATGCAGTACAACCTAGTTATTTGAATGATCCGTATTGTGTGGAAGCTCAGGGTAGCAAGCAGATTAACTCACTAGTATGATTAGGTTCATGCCGCGAAGCATGTAGTGCAAAACGCAGCTGATGCCTATCGTCCTTATCTGGATCTGGAAGTGCCCTTCCTCCTTTCCCTTTAAGATGTGTGGACTACAACTCCCAGGATTCCTGGCTGGGGAATGCTGGGAGTTGAAAATCCACACATTTTAAAAAGTTTTGAAATGTTGCTCAGTGCATCAGTGGCCGTACTTGTGCTGCCTTATTCTCTGTAGCTGTCCCAACTATATTCAGACAGGTAGAAGTGCCTGGGGGCAAATAGATGTACGTTTCTTTCTATTTTTGAACTGGAGTTGTCCCTGAAATCAAATAAAATAATTACACTGTTGCATATTTGTAATTAAATATTGTCAAGTAAGGATGGAGTTACATGTGAGGATTTAATTAAAGCTCACTCGCCGAATTGATTTTTTTAAAAAAATTGAGCGAATTTACTAAAGGGCTGGATAATTCTGCCTTCCCAAATGACCCCACTTTTAGTTTTCTTTTTAGACTAAGCAAAAGCCTGGGTACCGTTTTGGAGCTTTTTATAAAAAGTTTCCTGCAATTTATAATGGTTACCAAGGAAAAACTGAATTTTGCAGGAGTTAGTTACTTAAATTAAATCATGGTTAGAGGCTGCTCTGCCCCCTCCCCCTTTCTATTTTTAGGAGTGATTTTAAAAACAGTTCCGTTTCCCTGTTTTAACTATATTATTCTTGAAGTTATTTTGGGCTAAGGGACCATTCAGAACCTATTCTCTCTAGATTTTGTTTTGCCCACTGTTTCTTAAAAGGATAGGCAGGACAATTAAAAATTGTAGCGCTTTACAGCTGAAAGTAATTCATGTAGAAGAAGCTCATATATGTTTGCCTAAAGCCACAATGTTTCTCAGCCTTGGTAACTTCAAAAAATAGATGTAATTCAACTCCCAGAATTCCCCAACCAGCATTGGCCCAATTGTCTTTGGTATTTGCAACTTTAAAAAACAGAAATGAAAGAAAGTAAAGAGTGCAAAGCCTTCAAAACCTTGAGTAAATCCACTCTTCCAAAACTCCGTGGTTTTTTTCCCCCCATGTCATATTTAAGGTCGAAAAAAACATTCTTTGATGCTTTCTTTGTTGTGGATTAAAGACTTCAGAATTTTTTTCTTTGCCCAGTTTTTCTAACACAGAGATTAGAAACAACCTTTTTAAATTTGGAAGGGTTTTTTTTTTTTTTTTGCAGTTTTATGTTTTATTTTCATAGATTTGAAAAATAACGTTAACGGAATCTTTGAGCTTGGATTAAAATTTGCAGGAGATGGTAAGAACAGTGTGAACCCTATGTATCAATTCAGCCAGTGTTCAAAGTATTTTACCATTTTTTTATCTTTATTCTTTTAAGAATGTAGGACAAGCTATTTTGAATGAAGCCTGCAGAGATTAATACAATGTTTCTACAGAAAGCCCATAAGCAAGCTATTAAACATAGATTAAATGTACATTCTCCTCTGTTTCTATCCTCAGCAACTGATATGCAGTGATAGATAGCACTTAAGATTTCCATGCCAAGATAATAAATTATTTTGAAGACTTCTAAGCAAGTAACACCTTGTAGCGCTAATTTGTTTGATGAAATCTTTCAAATTATTTGAGCTGAATTTTACTGCTACTACTGCTCACTCACTGGTGAGCATAAATTCTACTATTATGGTCTAGTGCAGGGGTATCAAACGTCATCACAGTGTCATCACGGTGTCGTCATGTGACGTATCGTGACTTCCCCTCCTTCAGTAAACTAGGTGTGGGCGTGGCCAGCATGTGACGCATCTGGCCCGTGGGCCACGAGTTTGACAGCCCTGGTCTAGTGGTTCAGGCACCAGGCTAAAAACCAGGAGACCGAATTCTAGTCCTGCCTTAGCCATGAAATCCGTCTGGGTGACTTTGGGCCAGTCTCTCTCTCTCTCTCTCTCAGCCATCTCACAGGATGGTGGTGACGGTTGGGAAAATGGGAGGAAGAAGGTGTGTTGAATACGTTCTCTACCTTGAGGAAGTTGTAAAAATAATAAAGATGAGATACAAATAAATGTGAGTGAGAGGAAAAAAATGTCTGTCCAATAGTTCTTGATCACACATAAATTCATCAGAGGTGGGTTTCAGCAGGTTCTGACCAGTTCTGGAGAACCGGTAGCGGAAATTTTGAGTAGTTTGGAGAACTGGTAGTAAAAATTCTGACTGGCCCCGCCCCCATCTATTCTCTGCCTTCCAAGTCCCAGCTGATCGGGAGGGAATGGGGATTTTGCAGTATCCTTCCCCTGGAGTGGGGTGGGAATGGAGATTTTGCAGTATCCTTCCCCTGCCATGCCCACAGAACCGGTAGTAAAAATTCTGACTGGCCCCGCCCTCATCGATTCTCTGCCTCCCAATTCCCAGCTGATTGGGAGGAAATGGGGATTTTGCAGTAACCTTCTCCTCCCATGCCCACCAAGCCATGCCACGCCCACCAAGCCACACCCACAGAACCGGTAGTAAAAAAATTTGAAACCCACCACTGAAATTCATGTATCAGTAATTCTATCCCTGCACCCTTTACTTCCTTTATAAATGAGTTCTGACAATGCCCAGCAACCTGTTTAAGAAGAAGACTACGGCTGTCATCTTTTAAAGGTCTGAGCCTTTTGGGGTATACTTTGCCCATTCAAAAATTCCAAAAATTGTTTTTTGTTTCTTTTTTAATGTGTGGGAGGCCTTTACTAATTTTGCTCTGCGGCAGCTTCTTTGGGTGTCCTTGGCTGGCTTAACCTTCCTTTTGTAAGGAGTGCCTTCCGAAGGAGGCTTTGTACTGCTCAGAAGGCGTGGAGCACGTCGGTGATTCAACATAAACGAGAACGTTTTGGTCTATTCCCTGCAGGATTTATGACCAGCTGGTCCAGCTGATAGTGAGTAGATGCAAAAAGTGAGCTGTAGTTTTTTTCCCCCGTCTATGCTTTGAAAAGGTAATTTGGGTTTCCAATGTTCTTCAGTCCTCTTTCATTACATCCTTGCTTTAATCAGTCCTGATTACTGGTGACAACAGGGACCGGTCCCTACATATACATTTAATAAATAATAGTATTAATTTTTGTAGGCAACATTCCTGGTACCTTTTACCTAGGGCTGACAGGGCGTGACTAAGTCCATCATCATCCATCTGGTTTTGTGCCTAAGGCAAGACTAAACTCACGGTCTCCTGGTTTGAAATCGAGCACTGTATCCATTAGGCCAAATTGTTTTCATAGCTCCAAGCAGTGCGTGCTCAATTCTGCCAAAGCAGAATGAGTAGAAGGATGCACCAGAGCCGTATCAATGCAATTGTAGACCAGAGCCATATCAATGCAATTGTAGAAAGATGGAGCTTCTCAAAACCTTTGTAACAGAATAACAGAAGAGTTGGAAGGGATCTTGGAGGTCTTCTAGTCGAAGCCCCTGCTCAGGCAGGAAGGAAACCCTATACATTTCAGACAAATGGTTGTCCAGTGTCTTCTTAAAAATTTCCAGT